AACAGGCAACAGAACCCGTTCATAAAGCCGGCAACAGATCTCGTTCTTAAAGCCGTGAGTCGAAGCATTAAGCACTGTACACATGCATAAGTCCTTCTTAAAGCGATGAGTCAAAACATGCACGCTACACAAAAAACAGAACTCGTTCTTAAAGCTATGAGCCGAAAAGAACACGCTACGCGAATGGCATAACTCGTTCTTAAAGCCACGAATCGAATCAAGCACGGTAAAGCTATGAAACGGGGCAAAAGCCCTGCGAAACAAGGACAGTACACAAGTATATGCTTCGTTCTTTAATCCAGGAAACGAGACAAAACGCAGCAAAACAAGAACGTCCAAATTATATGCCTCGTTCTTTGAACCATGAATCGGAACAAGAGCCTAGCAAATGGGTGTATACGAGCATACACCTACTTCTATAAGCTATGAAGGGAACAGCAGAGGTAAGAGAGAAGCCCCTACTAGCACGGGACAAGAACAAGCTACACGCGAAACAAAGACCACCAAAGTTAACTCGATCATGTGGCTGCATTTTCGATCCTGAAACATCATAATCTTTATCATCATGATGATTACTATATAGGACTATTAGTAAAATCATCTCTGGAATCTTAACTATGGTTTAGAAAAATCAACTTTTCCAACGGAATCTATTCGTGTCCAATGCATCCAATACACTTGGTAGGACTTTACACCACTAGGAAGGGACACGACTGGATTCTGGTCGACAGTATTGGACAACCCTCGTTCCAGTCTGTTAAGCTACCTAGTTACCTTGAGATGTTCCAGTCTCGAGAAAACGCGTCAATACCTCTTTTCCTTTTTCCAGACGACAGAATTTGACCTCAATGCTTTGGCTAAGGCCACGTTTCTACGCCTCTGCCTTTAATCCCACGAATCCTTCGAGATTTTTTCGGAACTCTACTAGGGAAGAGTGTTCGCTTATTAGAGGACTTTCCAAGGAAAGTCATTGACCATTGATCCCCCCCCCGGGCGGGGGTACTCCCCATAATGGCCTATACGGGGAGGCTCCGCCTGAAAGGGGTATCTTTTTCAGGCTTCAGGTGTATAAAAGGGTAGGGATTCACGAGTTGAAGTATATGAAAGGGTAAGGAAATCTGGTATTTAGGAATTTAAAAGGGTCTTTGATTAAAATATTTCGAACAGATGCAACTTATGGACGTAACACTTCATTTGTTAAACGCCACAAGAATTTGACAAGAAGACTCGCTGTTGAGCGATTTATTCATACGACGGGCCAGTTACAGCAGTTACAAATTAAACTCTTTGGTATATACTGAAACAGTGGATAGTGCTTTTCGCGCGCTCTGATTGGCTACTCACTGAATCAGTGAATATCCTGCACCATTCACTGATTCATCTCCAATTCCTCCGAGCGAGCGACGCCAAACTCGCGTAAGTTTCGAGCAAAATGCCTTCACGGTTTGCTGCCGTAACAAACAAAGAAATTTCACCACTAATCAAGCAAGCTGTTCCCAAATACACGGGGAAGGTAACGAAGTTCGGGGTGGAAGTTTTAACAGGTAAAGCTTTGTCTTTTTGACTTGAATTTATCGATAAAACCGGCAAAAAAGTTTTTTGTTTACAAATGCAAATTAAGCTCAAGTCTTGCGTTACTTTATTTAGTTGACTTGTTCATAAATAAGCTTAAAACTAAATTTAATAATATTTTTTACAGAATGATTTTAAATACAGAAAGAGTTCACAACTCCTTCTCAGTAAGTTTCCCCGCAAGAGCTAAGCAAATGCCTTCAAAAGTTTTCTTTGTCGGCAAGAAAAAGCGACGACCGCGGCCGTTCGGTCATTGCGCGCCAAAATTGTAATCGTTGCAGGCAACAGTAAATGAGTTAAAAATCATCATTTTTGTGCTCAATTATCTCACTGTTTTAGTATATACTAAAACAATTATTCATCTTAGTGCTGGTGGCTAGTTAGTTGGCTAGCCACCTCCACTTCGGTGAATAACTGTTATATAACCGTCTATCTGCGTACTTGTCAACCTGGATGGTCATCGCATCACGCTTTCTTCGGCTTTTTATTTATTTCATCCTTGTCGCCGTTCTTCAATACAACTTGAATACCCTTATTGGTTCTTGGTTAATGTACGCTCGATTTCAGTTGCTTGGGTCTTGTAAGCTTGACATTAAGCCTCCTCCAATTTGACATTTTGCGGAAAAGGTTGTCCAGTTACCTTATCCTCCTCCAACACGTCAGCGGGCGTTTTCTAGAACGGGGTATAAAAAATTGTGGATCACGGCTTTATCTTCTGCTTAAAATTGTTGCTGATTATGAAAACTTTGTATAGAACAAGGAAAGAAATATAAAAAACAGGGCCAATTTCAAAACTAGAACGGAGTATAAGCAACATTTTTAGAACGAATTCTAGAACGGGGTATAAAAAATTGGCTCATTTCTATAACGGGGTATCAATTTTAGGGGAAATTTTTTTAGAACGGGGTGCCAATTTAGAGTCCCGGGCGGCACATACCCACCCAAAAATTATCCAAGTGCCCCCCCCGGGCTGAAAGGTAAGTGGAATCGTAGTTAATCGCTTAATCCAGTAAACGTTTGGAATATAGTAAGATGTTGTGAGAGCAAAACTAGGCTTGGTGTTCTCCCGCAGTATTGTTCTTTAACCTCATTCTAGGGTTTAGAAAAGGGAGGCAGTTTTTTTAAGTAGGTATAGGTATATGAAAAGGACCAAATTTTCAGTGGAGGGCATACGAAAGGGGTACCTTTTCTGCCAAAAATAGTTTGTGAAATGGGGACCCTGGAACCCTTAACCTATATCAGAGCTAGTTCAGCTGAATTTTGCTACCCTATACTAGAGTTAAGTCCCCAAATCCCCCCTATCCTAGAGTAGCTGTTTTCCAGAAACTCCAGAGGTCACCAGCGCAGTAGTCTGGCCAAAACAAAACCTTATAGCACAATCCCTAGTCTAGATAAAATCTTCAATCAACTGATCAGTTTCCTGAAAAATGATACCCTATTCTAGACCCAAACGCTCTGATTTATATACCCTATCCTAGAGTATACTGCTTGAAAACCATACCCTTCACAGCGGCACATACCTATATAGCCCATATGTTCCAGAACCCCCCCCGGGCGTAAAATACTACGCATTCAACTGGAAACACATTACCCGTTTGCCCTGCTATGTTTACAATGGCAATGATCTTTAATTTGCGCGATCAATTCCTTCGCGGACTGAAAGAGTCTTCCGATGTCTACGAAGTATCTAGGAAGAATAGCGAGCTCCATGTGAGAGTCATGTAAGAGAGGTGTACGTTAATTTTACGATTATTGTCTCATTTGCTGATTCATAGTCTTTATTATTTTATCTTTCGGAGGTCGAGAAACTGAAAATCACGAGAAAAATACGTAATGAAATCACGATTATCGATTATCAATTCGATTTTTTCACGAGGCACGCTTAACCTTTTTGTCAAGGAACACGAGGAATAATTATAATTTAAATTGACGAAACGTAAAAACGGCCAATCACGCATCACGAAAATACCCCTGTACGATCCCCTGGACGAACCTCTCGAAATAATCTAACTTTTTTATTTTTCCTGTTTAGAAAAAAAACTAAGATTCCAAAAGTCTAAGTCCAAGATTAAGACTAAGATTCCAAGTTTAATCGCTCATATCATTTTCCGTCGGATACATTTAAAACTTCGAATTTGAACTTTTATTTCCGCCGGGTAAATTTAGAAGTCTCACCTCACTTTTTGTAACGCAAGGGTGACCCTTTAAAACGTATTCCGATAATTTTAGGGTTGTAGTAAAGTCTACGAGGCCTCCCCCTCTACATTTGCAAGATTTAGATCAACTTTCGTGGCTTAGAAGGAGTGTAAATGATCAGTAATATTTAGTTTATTGGCTTAGTTACGCTGCAATAAGAACGATATGCTTGCCTTACAAGTCGAGCGCAGTTCTATAATCGAGCCTAGGGAGGCGGGAGTCGGGGCGATAATCTTTTAAGAGCGATTTTTTTTCCCGAACTTCCTTGTAGGTCCAAATTATAGTTTTCCTAGTCACTAGTACTATGTAAAGTTGTTCAAATTATAAGGTATTTTTGCATTTTCAAGACAACATAAAAACAGGGGCACCTAAAGTCAATTTTTGGAAAATATCTGTTCGGAAGACGATTTGAGATCTAGAATTTTCGGAACATTTGTTGTAAAATTTCTTGTTTGTTTGCCTCTCCTAGGATTTTCGGACATCTAAAAATTGGTATAATTGCCCATTTTTAACGATTTTTTACCCTAAAAAGGTCACCTAGAATTTTCGGGAGACTTTTTGAAATTTTCAAAAAGGTAAGTTTTGATCACTATAGTTTTCGGATCACTAGACTTTCAGCTAGGAAATCCGAACAGATGAAGAATTTTTAGGGGATAAAAATATGCCCATTTAATGTACCGTTTAAATACTAAAATACGTTTAACAATGCTATGTTTAAGTGGTTTTGAACTATAATATTCTCTTTGGGCGCCCCTGATAAAACAGCCGGCAGAGCTTCAGTTTATGTTGGGAGCAGTCCCTGGCGTTAATTGCACAATCCTTGTTTTTTTTGTTCTCGGTGGGTGTGTTTTTGTTGGCTGGTCAGAAATATCAAAATGATAAGAATGCTATTAAACGTTGTCACCTTCAAGTTCAACCAAACATAAAACAAAGGAGTTCCTTCAACTGTACATACATCTACCAAACTAAAAACCTTCCTTTTTAAGTTTACCCACATCGGTGGTTTTTCACAAATGATTTTTTAATAGAAATTCAACCTTGTACAATTTCTGTCAACCAGAAATTGTTAATTATTTCACGAGTGCGTGTTGGATATGAGATGGTAAGCGGCGCTACGCGCCTCATTGGCTATAACCATCTCATATCCAACTAGCGCGGGTGGAATAATTGTTTTATTAAAAACGCCCACAGAATATTGCGAATTCTTCCCGACTTTATCAGTAAAAAACAACCCATTTTGAGCTCAGTTGTTTGTTTCAGTTTTTGATAACGAGCGATTTTCGTGTGACCTTGAAAAATGGTTTCGGTAAGTGTTCGTTATTTCTTTTATCAGCTAATGGCTAAAAAGATCAAAACATGCAATATTCGTTTTCCCGCCAAAGAAAACCCTAATATAGAGAAGGCATTGTTCGATTGGCTAATCGTGCTGCAGTATGACGTTAAAGCGAAGTATCGATTGATTTCTAGAAAGTTCTGGGGAATGAAGTTTTTTCACCCGAGCGTTCGCTGAACCAACCAAAAGCCACGCGGGTTTGTATCCGTTTGACAAACCAATCAAATCGCTCTATTTCCGTTCGTTTGTTTTTTTCTGTTTTGTTCGCGCGTTTTCATTTCAAGGTCATACAAAAACTGCTCTATATTTACTCACGCAAATTAGCTTTAACGTCAGTTCTTTATATGACCCTCTTTAAGAGAAAGCAGAATTCTGTCATTCGGTCGAAAAAGAATTAGCTTTTTGCTGTAATATTTTGGACACCTTAAAAAACAAAGACAGCTTTTGGTCGAATGAATTTATTGATTCGTTTGCATGTTGTGCTGTACTACAAATTGTTATGTTATTGACAAGTTTCAGATAGTAACAGCGGAGTTTCCGAGCGCTCGATGCGCGCGCATTGTACGTAGCCCCATTGGATCCATTGCTATGGAAACTCGAAACCAACCTTAAGTATGGACCCGACAAAATTTGGTTATGACTTCAGCGAACGCCTATCCGATCATCTGTCCGTCTGTCCACGGTCCAAGGCAGGCGAAAGGGGAGACTTTAAGGGAGCGGAAAAGCAAAACCAGTTTAGTGAAAAACAATGGGGTTTAACGGCAAATTTTTAAGTCTCCGCTTTTAGTTTGTTCCGTGGATTCAGCTGCTGTCCGTATTAGCGGGGTTTTGGTAATAGCGACTATACACCGGCGAGTACATTGTAGGTGCTCAATATCCGCAAAGCCGAAACGGGGGAGTCGCGCTCGTTTCCGGCTTTGTCTTTTCTTATCGGATGGTTTTGTGAGTATAAGAAAATTCTCAGGTTTTCTTTATTTGAACCATTAGTTGGAGTTCAAAATGTAAGATTTTTTCTGCGAAATGTTTTTCCATAGCGAGGAACTAATTAGTTAATCATGCTAATGCAAATATCATATCGGTATTATTGAAACAACTTGTATGTTTACCACAGGATAGTAAGTTCACCTGTATGCACAGAGAACAAATAGTGGGATGTAATTCACACGCAATGCAAATGCGTAGAGTAACATCACAATTGTTTATGCTTAACCCACCTGTGGTACTCGCAGTAGTCAGACTATGCACTCTGTGTTTAAAAACGGCTCTTCTCTATTAACAAATTCGTTGAAGCCCACAACAACTTCCACAAGAAGTTCGGCTAAAAACTCCATAAAGAACATAATTCAAACGCTACCAGATCAGGTTGTAAATAGTGTGCAAAGAGAGAACGTTCTCTCCTGTTCAAACTAAGAAGAGAGCAGATTAAAACACATTGATATTGTGCGCTGGTTTACGAGGCTATATTCGCTGAGGACTACTTTTCAGCCCACCTTCAATATTGCGGCACAGGCGTAGCTTGCACGGTCCTGCTTATTATAAAGGAACATGCCGATTATTTTACTGTGCGTTTGTTGCAACGAAATTTCATTGTTCTGTTTAATACTAAGAAGAAAATGAATGAGTCGTTAACGCAAACAACAGTAAAACAATGAAACTGGTCAAAACTCTCCCTCACAGACAGTTGATTTCACTGACCCTTTTTCGTATTTTCAAGCTGAAAAATCTTTGGCGGGGAAGTGTGAGAGAGAAAAGACGAAAATAAATATTTTCAAAGTAAAATATAATCAGCAGAACTTCTATATATATATGGGTCTTTCATTTATTCTCTTGTTTCAGCATTACGCTCTTCAGTTCAGCACAAGTTTTTGTTTGATTAGATTCTTTCTTCTGCCAAAGCTCAGTAATTTCTCAAACTATTTTTCGGAGCCTGTATAGTCGTTTTCAGGTAATCGACCACTGAGACCACATGTATTACCACGTAACCTTTTTGGGTGCTAAATTTCCTCTTCATCATTCACGGAGAAAGAGTCTGAACATACAACCTTCCCGTAATTAACGAGAATTACCATACTGTTACATGACTTTATTTATACACTAAATAGGATTTATTTTCCCACCTATGCAAATCAAAATAATTAATCATCTCAGGTGGTCATAAATCAAACTTTACCGGAGATTCATTTTTACCTGCTTAAGTAAGTAAATCTTTCCGCTGCAAGGGAGAGTAAAGAACGCCAACTGACACTGCCCTAGCGGAAGAGCTATGTATTAGAGCTTTTCAGTAAAAGAAGTGATTTTTAGAATTCTACCGTTATGGAAAAAGTTATGTTTCTGTTATTTTATGTAGCGACGTTTTGGACTTTTGTCGGAGGGGCAGGTAGGTACCTCGCATTACTAGTAAGTCAAGTAAAAACTATAGTACTTTTGCGTTCTTAAAGATATAACACTGTTTTAGCAAGGTTTTGGAAAATCGTGTGAAATTAAAAGTAAACAGGCTTAAAAAATTGTTGCAATGTTACAGTAACAGTTTGAATTAGATTAAAGGTGGTTTCAATTAAAAACATGGTAACACTTTCTCTTTCGAATAGCTGCTTTCATTTAGCACCGTTGACCAAAAAGCTAAGCAAAACGTATGATGAGTGTCTCGAGTATGGAATGAAAAATGTTCTAGGCAAGCTCCTAATCAGAATCTTAAAATGGGTGAAACAATTTTTATCCTACGGAACAAAGCCGCTTTTTTTATCTTAAAACACACAACGTCGAGCAGATACCATTGTTCAGGGTCCAAATGGCTACCGGCCTGGTCTCTTTTTTCCCCAAAGTTGTGAGTTTACCATTCCTAGTCAGAGAAAAAAGTAAGTGAACCGGAAGATGCCCATTTTAAAGGAGAAATCTTTGAGAAATTATCTTACAAAGCCATTCTTGAACGGAAGTGTTGAAGGAGCCTAAAAGGTAGTACTTATAAATACTCTTTACCGAGTGCATTTCTTATTTAAAATTGTGCCGTCTTAATTAAGAAAGTAGTACAAGGCATTAACATTAAAATTTCCCGATGCCTTTTCTTTGTGACAGAGAAGTTTGTATTTTTAAGCATTCAATATTGAGATAAATTAAGCGGCTAAATCACGACTTTTTACCTTTTGTATAAGCTTAAATCCCGAAAAAAAACCTGAAAAATTACTATAACGTTTTGTCCCCAAAGTGAATGGTGGCTGGTCAGGTTGGTCGGCCTGGAGCGGCTGTGCAGCTGGCATTTGCGCGGGAAATCAGCGCATTCGAACAAGAACCTGCACCAATCCAATACCAAGTGAAGATGGAGTATACTGCGATGGTGACAGCTCTCAGCAGAAGGATTGCCTAAGTAAGTTTTATGAGAAACTGCTGTAAAAAAAAAGTGTTTGTCTGTTAATATTTTTTTATGTCTGTTTTCTGCTTACCGGGTTTCATTTGATGATCACGCCAGGGTTCTATCTAGAGTATTTGAGGGGTAAAAGCTTCCCCCCTCCAATATGCCCAGCTTCCCCCCAAAAAATATTGTTATCAATATGGTATACAGGTAACTACATTGGAAAAATCACCCAGACACGACGAGGTCATTGCACACACTGTAACATTTCTCAAAATTGTGTCTCAAAATGCACCAGATTGCATCTCAGCGCAAATTCATTTCAAAAAATTTCTTGCCTCCGGACCCCCCTAGGAAGCTTGTTGCTTTCGGCCACTAGGGGCTTTTCCCCAAAAAGACAAATCCTAGATAGAAGCCTGCACGTGTTGGGGTAAATCTGTTAGTTCTCCAGTGTTATTTTAGTTACGGTACCATAACAACTGATGCACTTCGGCCTCAGAAAATGAGACTCCGTCTATCGTCCCATGTACTAAGGTAATCCGAGAGAGTGGATTCCGAAATCCAGGCTCAGGACTACGGATCCCGTGTCAGTGGAACTAAAAATTGTTATTTGGATTCCAGATTCTTTGAGCCGAATTCTGGATTCCCAAGCAAAGGCCCCAGTTGTTCAAAAGGTGGATGATGTTATTCAGTAGATAAGTGTCTATGTAACAGATAACGCAATTGGTTTCCCTAATGCCCATCCACTGCAAAGTGATTTACCAGACGGATAGCGCTATCCAATGTTTGAACACTCGGGGCCAGGATTTTAAATTCTAGAAGTAAAAATTTCCTTGATTCCGGAGTCCGGATTTACTTACTTGGGGCGTAACCCCCGGGATGGCAATTCAGCCGGCTTAATTATAAAACAAATCCGCCCGCTTCGTTGTATTCCTGCTTGAAGTCAAGACACCTGGGTTGTTTTTTTCACTGCTATTTGCTAATACTGATTTATCATATTAAATTATGTTTTTAAAAAGTTTACCTGTGAATAATTAGTTTGTGTACTATAGCAATAACACAAGTATACTTTATACTAGTCAATTAATGCTAATGTTTTACCAAAACCTTTTCTTTCGATTTGTTTCAGTAAGACTACAGTGAAAACACTCCTGACTAGTTTTGCTCTTTTATCTGCCTTAATTTTCATTCCCTCCTAAAATATTTTCTTGATAAAGAAACTGATGTTGGTCAGGAAAACTGTTTTATTGCCTCCAACTGTCAACTTAAAAAAAAATTAACATTATTATTTGATGTAATTTCAGTCGACGGAGGCTACACAGAGTGGAGTCAGTGGTCACTCTGTGAAAACCCGTGTGGGGGATCTGTAGTCAACAGAAGTAGATCATGCACTAACCCTACCCCTACCCCTGATGGAAAGCCATGTTCTGAAGACTCATTCCAAACGAAGCTGGAATGCATCTGGCCGTGTCCAAGTAGGTCTAAGGCAATTTTAGTTGCATTTAATTTTGTTTAATTTAATTTTTTCAACGACAAATTTTCAATTGCTTGCTGTTAAAAATATTTATTCCATGTTGCTGTGCTTCTGTCAAGTAATATATCACGGACGACGTCAAAATATGCCAGGAACAAAAACCGGCACGCATGCTGCAGGTCGAAATGTTCTTATTTAACAATTAATGAATGAGGCTGAGTGTCTTCATATGATACGAAAGCCGAATTCAATAATCGTTTTATTATTCATTCAAAATAATCACTAGTTTAAAATCATAGCTAAAACAAGCCTACCTCCATCGATGTTAACTTTGTCTTCGATAGTGCACGTTTAGGGTTGTTCAGCTCCGCAAATATTCACCAAATTGCAGATGTCGCCCTTCGAGTTGTCTTCTTGCTGTTCTTGCCATGTTTTTAGCTATTATTTCGCCTAGTTCTTACTCTTGAAACCAGTGAAATGTTCGCCATTTTTGTTTTCACAACCAAAATAACTCATCCTCGTTCGCAGGTCTTCTCGGTTAACGGTGCATTAACCTGCATGAAGACTGCACTTTTGACGTCATCGGTTCATTAATTGCAAAATTCTTCCAAATTTGGTCATCAGTAGCTGGTTATGGTGAATTATGCGTGTGCTTTTAGCCAGTCAAAATCGGGGAAATATTTTGAGTGAATAATAATACATTTTAATACCTTCTGTGATCTAGCACTGAACAGACGCCCAGCAAAATGAAAGCTATTCGTTTAATACAATATACAACTGTAAGCGTTTAAAAGGGAAAAAAAAAACAATCCTGCCTAATAATCTTGTTTTTGTTTTAAGAATTGTTCCAGTTTAAGCCAAAAACCTGTGAAAAAAGCCGACATTTTCCAACGCCACTATTGGTTTCCTCGTGATTTATCTTGCTTCGAGAAATCTGCTTCAACCAATCAGAAGCTTTACCCAGATCTGTGAAGTGACACGTCATCAGTATGGAATTTCTAAGCTCGTTCCCAGAAGTCATTTCGCGAAAAAAGCAGTGATGGCGTCGAGATATGCTTTGCTGTTTTCTCAGGCTATTTTGCCAAAGTTTCTTGAAGATCACGCGAAAAAATGAATTTCATATCTCTCAACCAACAAACATGGGTGAAAGCTGAGTTATCGTAAAAAAGGCCAAACACTCTTCCTATAAATGCATTTTATTCTTTCCGTTATTTAGCCGGCCCTCTTGATGGTGAATGGGGAGGATGGGGTCAGTGGACACAGTGTTCTAAAACCTGTGGAATAGCAGGAGGAAGCATTCTAAGAAGAACAAGATTGTGTAACCGGCCTCCTCCTATGAATGGTGGGAAGCCATGTGAGGGTAACAATACTGAAACAGCGAGATCATGCTTTGCGCCTTGTCCAGGTGAGTAAAAAGCGAGATGATAGTGTAGTAGAGTATGAAGTAAAACCTTATAAACTGGGTACAAAATTTTCACCTGCTTGCTCCCGATCGGCTTCACTGCTCATTCGATTAGAGCGAGGGAAGATCTATTAATCTATCAGAAGGCTTGAGTTCTGTCCACACAAGGTCAAGGTTCTGAGCCCGTGATAAGTGGAGTATCAGAGCCGGTCAGCGGAGGACTTTAAAAGCACGTCACCTCAATGAGTTGTACACCTAAGGCCCACGTTGGTCAGCGGATGCCCTATTTTGACAACAGTCCATTGATCATAACATCTATTTTAGATGTCCAATATCAAGTTGAAAACACAATTTGTATATGCCTTGGACTTTTAAGGCAGTAATTTCACATCCGCTACACATGATGGGGAGGACGTCCATATGGACGATTTTGTCCGAACCAAATTTCTTGGATGCATAGATAACCAAATTTTCTTACCCATAGTACTACACTGCGCGCGCTTCGCGCGCCCGAGAACTCAGTTAAATTAAGAACTGTTTCAATCTTAGTAAATGGTGGGTTTAGTCTTTGGTCCACTTGGACGACATGCAGTAAGACGTGTGGGACTGGATCGCAGTCAAGAAGAAGAACCTGTTCCAACCCAGTCCCTGCTGATGGAGGCCAGAATTGTACCGGAGAATACAAGCAAGCAAAGAGCTGTAAACTGACTTCCTGTCCAGGTAAGTATGTTATGCTGAGCCTTGTTCCACTTTTAAAAGGCTTTCTTTTTCGTGAGCCGGGTAAAAAAAAAAAAACGCTGACATATTTTCTTTAAACAAGGCACTCGCCATTTGTTAAACCGCTGTGATACAAGCTGGAACAGATGCTGCCTAGTAAATCACCATCGCAAATTTTCGTTATAACGCGTACCTTTGCGAACAGTTGAACATGCTGCCCTTTTTATGGCGTTGTACGATTTTTTCTTGTGTTGCAAGAGCTTGAAAAAAGAAAGAAAACTTGTCGAATTTAACAGGGCCTTGTTATGTCCAGAATGGTTTTTTCTGTTCAGACAAGAAGTTGACGAACATAAAGAGCGTCGGCAACTGATCAATTTCTAATCCGTTAATTTTCTTTTATGAAATCTTGTAATAGGCGCCGTCAATGGAGGGTGGTCAGCGTATTCAGCCTGGGGCGCATGCTCCGAACCTAAATACTGCTTGCAAGGCGTAAAGAAACGAACTCGAACTTGCACCAATCCTCCTTCGGCGAATGGTGGAGATGAATGTGGGGGACTGGCAGTCGAAGAAAAGAGCTGTCCTACTCAGGCAGAAGGATGCACAAGTACGCAGTGACGAATAACTTAATCACTCTTAACAGAAAGTAATGATTTAGAAATGGCTTTCTATAAATGATCCCGTACCTCTCCTGTAAAACCATTCTCAAAAGAATTGTCTGTAGAGAAATTTGAGTAAGAAAATTGAAATTTATTATTTATGAAGGTGAAAAAATTCATATATGCTCATGGAACTCTCGGAACAAAGCAGCAAGGTTCCTCAGTTTCTTTACGTTGTCGTTATACCCAGCACAACACATTACATCTGTACTGCTGAATTATTCTTAAGATAGACCCTTTTGAGAGTGTACTCTCATAAGTAGTATAGTGGGGGCCGAATTTAGCCCTCTTTGCAAAGGAATCACATTACTTTGCGAAGAAATATATTAAAATTCACGGTGGTGGTGAAGAGAAACAACAAAAATGAGGAGAAGTGATGAGGAGAAGGAGGAAGAGAAGGGGGAGGAGGCATTAGAAATTTAGAAATGACGAGGGGGAGGAAGGAAAAGGAGAATGACTGAAAACAATGAGGAGAAAGAAGAGGAGGAGGAGGAGGAGGAGGGAAAAATAGAAAGTTCGTACTGGAGGTGAGATTAAAAGAAACTGAAGAGGCGCGAAATGACTGAATTGGGTGGAGAAGGAAGGGGTGTGGAGTTAGTAAAAAATAGTGTTTAGTCCTACAAAGAGCTAGTTTGCCTTCGAACTCATTAATATACACTTTTTGGGCGCCAAGAATCAGTGAACGGGAATTAAAATAATTCGTTGTCTGTAATTGACACTGAAAGCAGCAGGAAAAAGAACTTGTAAAATTACCTTGCGAATCAGTGTTTTTGAGTCATATAAGGGGCGGAACTTATAGCGCTTATTCCTTCAACAACATGGACCAACCAATTACTTATGACCTATTTTTAAATATAATTTAGCATAGTATTATTCTATCTTATATTACTATTGTATTTTCGCGTTTCTTTTAATACATTTTCACTGTAACTTAGGATATGTATTTTTATCTTTTGATTGAATAAAGGCTATTATTATTATTATTATTATTATTATTATTATTAATGAAAACTTATCTTAACTTCTAGTCAACCAATCAAAACGCAAGACATTCATCGAACTTGAAATAACCAGAAAATCTGTTTAACCTATTAAACCCCCCTAAAATAGATTCTCCTGCATTTTATTCATGAGATAAAAAGGCTAAAGACTATGACGTACATTATTGGCGTTAGTGTATTCCTCCGCGGAGTAATGAGATTCCACCGCAAAAAGGGATTAATTCGCTCCCTACTATACTACTCTCATAGCTTCATATATATTGTTATATATATTAGTGTTATGGTATTTGTTGAGCTTTCTTCAAGAAAAAGTATGATCAAAAGGTGAACTTGATAAAAACCAGCTCGTGGTGAGATGTAAAACTGTTTCTCTCTCAGTTAAAACTCCTTCAACATATGTTAACGTGAATTTTTGTTTAGTTCATGACGTTATGTAACCTCCTTCCTGCCTGAGAACGACGTTGAGCATCACGGTCATCAAGCAAAACCGTCTTAAACCCCACTTCAAATCACAATAAAAATATTGGTTTTGACGACTAGACATTTATTTAAAACGGTCCTTACAGACCAAACCCATTTTTACAAATTTATTTTTGTGATGTCGTCACCTGAGAGAATTAGTCTTCAGCGAAAAGAACATGATTTTGATGCTAATGGAAAGGCGCGACTTGCTCCAGTACCGAGGACGAAGTCACTTATAGTTGAGAGCCACCAAAGACTAATGACTTCTTATCCTTTTTAGCTTATCAGCCGAGCAAGCCAGATAAAACAGCAACTGACCCTAACTCCTGGATAGCTCTGGAGTGTGGTGCAACAGAGAAGTTTTCAGCCACGGGAACTTACAAACAAAATGTTCCTTATGCTGTGTATTCAAACTTTAATTTCATGCGGACTGAGCTAGAGAGTGGATGGTTTGCGATCCAGTTAGAACCAGATGACAAAGATGATTATGGAAAGAAGAAGCTTACCAAGGTTTGCAAATCATCCTGATCATTTAATCTTACGGTGAACTTAATTTAAAAATGGCCGGTAAATGCGCGGGTTTGCCGTGAGAAATCAGTGGTTATTTATCATTTACAAAAGTTTCCGAAAAACCAAGGTAGTAAGTAAATAGGCCATGACGTGTTGGGTCACTCCAGCGAAAGCTTTCCGGCAGCAACCTTACGGAACATACAGAAATTCTTGTTCCATTTTTTCAAAGTTATCTTTGACAGCAGTTTTCAGTTTTGTGGACATTTTTAGTTTTGTTTACCCACTACAGGTCATGTGATAATACTCTAGGGAACTGTTTCTTTCAAATTTAATCTCGTCCATATGTACGCATAATTTACTAGCAGACAAAGGGTCAATTTTCCCTGGGACCTCTATTGGGAAAAGAAAACATACCAGATAAAGAGGTCTATTTGTACAACTAATAAACGCGATTCCGGAGCGAAATTCACCAGTCCTAAATTTTGCTTACCATTTTTACCAAACGGTGAAACGATCGGTTTGAAAAAGGTCTTGCCGCTCACTGATAGTTTTTCTTCATTTATGTTGATATTATATTTTTGAACAAAGTGTCCCTGCATTTTAACTATTTGAAGTCATAAGCTGAAAGTGGTACAGTTTTTTGCACATAAATCATGTTCTGCAATGCCTTGGCTAGTCTTCCCAAAGATCATACTCGAATTTTTTCATTCTTAACACGATGCGCAAAAAATATCTTTCTGGCTCCGAAAAGTTATCCAGACCTTCCACAAACATGGCCATGAACGTCTGCTAAAAAGGTTGCACTTTTTTATTTAGGTTTGCTTTGAGATCATTGACCCACTGACCATCGGCAAAGTTGTGTCAAACAAAGCAACCTACTACTCAAAGATCGATGCCATTCCAGAATGGACTAAACCCGCACTAACCGAGAATGTTCCCGCCTTTACCATCTGGATTGACGAGGCTCAAACTCTTAGAAAGTACGAGTTCCTCTGCGCAAAATCAGATGAGTATGTTCCGTTCACCGGATATGTTGTGACGAATGTCAGGTAAGCTAGGTAATGTCTCAGGCCGCTCTCAAACGTGTTAAGTGTATAAAAATAGAGAAACGATAGAAAACAACGGAAATAGTCATTTAAGTTCCTGTTGAGTTGATTATTTGTCAGTCTTGTAACAGTGTGGTAAATAAAGGGTTTACCTTCTCTACTACATTCCCTTGAATAGAGATCTTGTTCGCAAGGTGTCCATCCATCCATCCATTCATGTATCCAGTTCTTCTTTTCCCAGAGGGCACCGTGTCCGAGTGGTCATAGAGAGTCATAGCGACTATTCCTGGCTTTTCTTCTCGGTAGACCCGATTTAAAAGTCTCGGTCAGGCTATTTGCCTTCGACCAGTTAGGGCTTTTAATTCTGTTATGTTAGCTACAGCTGCTAAGTCTACTTCCACTTTAAATATAGCATTTATTTATTGTTTTGTTTTTAGCCTTCTTGGATCACCATAAACCCGCTGGTTCAGTTATCTGCTTGGCCCTACTAGTGTTTGTGCTACATGACTGCAGAGAGAAAATAAAGTTTATGTTATTTACTATTCTTATTTTCTACCTTTCGACCATAGATTCTCCTACTACACCGAAGGAAATTCCCAGACTTTTAAGGCTAAAGGTGACCACACTTTGAAGTCAGGAACTGTGTTTAAGACGGAGGTGAAAAAAGATCCGTTCACTTTAGCTGTCTACGCGAAAGCAACTGCCTCATCGGTGACTTTCAAAGACATCATGGCATCTTTTGGACTAGATCCAGCAATTGTACCAGATTTTTTTGTCAACGCTTTGAAGTAAGATGAGCTGAAGAGTTTTTTCCATTTTTTTCTATACGGCGTTCTTGACACGGGATGCGGTACTGGGAAAGAAAACGATATTCGAGATAGAAATGACAGAGATTGGGGGTGCGAGATTGTCGTGAAAAGGGAGCGGGAATGAGGGAACAGCCCTCATTCTAAAACCTGCTTAAGATATAATCTCCCGAGATTCGAATCTATAGACACTGTCAGGCTTTCCAAATAGAACTGTGGAAAGATCATATCACGTTTAGCTTTATCTGATATTAAACTCATCAAATCTTAAATCCCAAGTTTCTCCACATTAGTCCTTGGAATGGGATTCCTATTTTTGATTGTAAGGATTTTGTACCTCTTACTTTTGACTCAAGTAAAAGCCACCGAGTGGAATGTCCTGATATTTTCATTTGTAAGCTTTCTTAATAGAAGGGAAAAGAAATTTAACTAAATCTAGTGCACACTTACGCCACTTCCGAGTTCCAAAACCCCCAGTTTCAAAATGAGGCTAGGTACACAACTTTTCTTTTGAAAATGAGTTTTATTTGCATGAGAATGGAAAATGATTTCCATATCAAAGGCTGAGCACCTACCCTCGTTTTGAAACAGAGGCCCGGGGGAACTCGGAAATGGCCTATTGAATGAAATGCATGAGTGAAGCTACGATACAAAAAATAAAAAGGAGGCACGAGTGAACAAAGGTAAAGAATAATTATAACTGACAGTAACTGTGTTCTTAAACTCTATCCAGCCTGTCTTGTTTGTAGCTGCGAATGGCATTTTCGTTTCAGTGAAATGGTTGACCCTAATACATTACAACCCATCATTAAAACTGTGGTCAGTGACTTTAACCCTTTAAGTCCCAAGAGTGTCCAAAGTCAATTTTCTCCTAACAACATCATTATATAACCAAGAGAAAATGTTGTGAGAATTAATGAAATAATCACCTGATGTTAAAAGCTTTGATCTACAAACAAATTCTCTTAACAAATTCTTTAAGGAAATGTATGTAGATCTGTCTGGAGAGTTTGCATGTGGATATAATGGGGACCTAATTTCAGTCTATTCTCGTAGAGGAATAGGTCTCTGGGACTTCACCATGGCACCTGCAGAATTAGTACGAAAACTGGAAAAGGGTGGATTGACACGATTCACGGCCTCAATAAGCGCAGGAGGCGTCCCTGTTCACGTGGAGATTCTGGCTGGAATGAGGTTTGGGCGACCGCAATTTGCTGTAGGATTCAGCTTTGACAGTGAATCATATGGAAAGTTGGCTGAGAAACTCTCTGGGATTGGGGTCGATTTTCTGGACAAACTTGGATTTGAGCTGCAGGTAACTCTGATTTGCAAAAATGCTCTCATTTGAAGAAAGCATAATCAGAGCATGCGCGAGCGCTATTGGCTAGGCAAAGGGGTCAACGTTTTTCTCATAAAGACGTTAACAAAGGTTATCTCGTCTTAGAGGGTGACCCTCTCTCTCGGGACAACTTTTCTCCATTTAAACGAGTTCTAAGAGTGGATTTATTTGTAACATACGCGTATAGCCGTCGCCTTTGCCCGTTGGAATTCTTTCTTGTTTTCGAGCTCAAAAACAATGAATCTGCCTTTAATGTTTCCTTTTACCTTTCAAACTTTCACAGATCGGAGTAGCGTTCAGTCCTCCAGAGGTCTTAGGATTCCAGCAAGTTTTAACCGATGAAGAAACCAAGTTTTCTAAGGATCCACTTAGCAGCTACCACACTGTTAGCGTTGTTCAAGGTTCGTTAAATTACGGCGTTAAATTACAGACCTTAGCTTGATACCTCCCAATGTAATGGTTTGCGCGTGATTTAAGCGATTATGTTAAGCTGGAGGTTTCTAACTTAAAGCGTCATTCAGTACTATTCAAAATGCAATGGTCACAAGTAACTTTGAAATAAACTCTAAACCGAGCGTTAACTGTAAAAGAGTATCTTTATTTCGAACGATGATGACGATGATGATGATAATAATAATAGTAATTATAATAATAATAACAACAATAATAATAATTTCTTATACTTTTATTCTATTGTAGGCATTTTTTACTTCATTTGGTACTTTTTTGAAAAATGGTTATACACGATATCAAGATTTTAAGACGGAATCCATTAGGAAATTGAGTAATCACAAAAACCTTGTACCAGAATATCCTGTGAAATTTAAATTTTGTTTTCTCCGACTCCCATAACAAATTGTCGTTGGTGTTATAGCTTGTTATTGCAAATAACTAATTATATCTGTACTCCTAGAAAAGTGTAAAAAAATGCAATATGCTTTAAATTATTCTGGTACAAGGTTTTTGTCCACTGAGAATTAAAATTACTCAATTTAATTCTTGATGGATTCCGTCTTAAGGTATTTTCCAGATTTTAGATATAGTCCAGTTACAGGCTATGCTATGCACCCGATGTGACTATTGTTGCACTTTAGGGCATTTGAAGTTTCTACTTCCATAATAATAACGATGATGACAGTAATAGAAACAATACAGTTACATGAGTGAATAAAGCCTTAACTGATCAAGCTTTTAACCTTTCCTTACCACCAGGTATCACGGCCGTAGCACAAATCGTTCTACCCAAGGACTGTAAAGGAAATAAATTTTGCGAGATTTGCAAGATGATTGTAGGGCCAACAATAAAATGGTACATCGCCGGAGAGTTTCAGTGGAGGAAAATCAAAGTCGCAGTTGGATTCAAAAACATTCGCCTATTTGCTGGGTTGTACTTTCATAAACTTGAGCTCTACGTTGAGGTCAGTTATCGAAAGCAGCTGAGCCAGCACACTTTCCGCAAAATATCCGTCTATTTTGCTCAGAAAGGACTTTAAGCCTAGAACTAAGACCCAGTACTGTGATATTTTATGGGGGATGGGTATTTTTAGTATTTTGAACAAAGCTTTTACAACCTTAAAGGAGCCGCTGTTTTAGGTCAATACTATCAATGTTAAAGTCATTGCTTAGTGCCTTTATCCATACACAAAATCAGCTTCAGTCTGTAGAATTTTTAAAGAAGATACCAAGTGAAACAAAATTTCATCAGAGAGCAATTTTTAGGTGATTTTTGCAGGCATAGTAGCAAAACTTGCAAAAAGTATCCCAGCCATCCGTAGCAACAGACGACAGGAGACATTCTCGATGCCTAAATATAGTCTTAACTAATAAAACTAAACCATTGTTTTTGGACTTCAATCGGTGCGAAGACGAGTTTTAGCTTTTTAAAAAGATAGTAACAGCGTGTAAGTCCGTTTAAATTCATAACAGGTCGATACGATTCAAAATACAGCGCAGACTCAGCTCTGGCTGGCTGCAAATTTTTAACTCTCACTTGGTTAACTTGTAAAACTTTGCATAGCAATTTGTGACAACACGACAGTATTTTGACCGTATTTTGTGTAACTGCTAGGAAGAGTGGAATTACTATAGATAGTCTATAGAATCAAAAAGTCTGAAAGGCAGTTTTGTTTCTGCAATACGATCGATCTTCATGAAAGAACAACGGCCGTCTATCTGGAAAGTCCCCGGACAACCCTTGAGCGTTGGCCTATATGCAGTGATATTTTTTCTTTTTGCTTGTTCAATTAAGGCGGACTGGAATTCGACAGCTAAACACATCAAGTTGGGATTCCGTGCAGATATCAAGATTCCTGTGAATGGCGATATCTACCGTGATGGAATCAGAGCTCCTAACAGTGAACTATTTTTGTTTGGTGTGTTGGAGTATGATTTTCAACAACAAATAGTTTCAGGAAAACTGGGCATGCGTGGAATATGGAGAAAAGCCTTCTTCATACCCTTCCTTGGCATTGGAAACATTTTCCTGGGGTAAGAAACACAATGTTGATTATTACCTCTTGAGATTTCTGATATAAATATGATAAAGTGTATGCCCCATCGCACAAGCCTTGCATATTAGAAATTTTTTTCGGACCGTGAAAAAACCCGCCAACTGTTCATAAAGAGTAGGGGACCTAATCCCTGAAATTACTACTCACAATAGGGGGCACTCATAACTCGTTACTTCTAGACTGCGCTTAAAACAGTTTGGCAAAAGGGTACCAGTCCAGTGCCCGGTTCCTTGAAAGATAGTTAAGTTTAAGGTGTTTCGATATAGTTTTTCAGAGGCCATACCGATATTTTTCAATGGACTTAAAAGTGATTCTATCCTTGTCTGATCGCTATAAATTTTTTGCCAATGATTGACTATAGATTGAAATTTGTCAAAATGTAGGTTTTAGTAAAATCGATATTACTATGACAACAATAAACAAAACTGTTTGAAATTGATAAACGCCTACTTTTGCGCGATCTAGACCAGCTACTGAAAATCCAACACTAGGAACTTTTAAAAAGTTTGGTGTGTAGCAAAGAACCTCCGTAAGAAGTAAAAAATTCTTCATGTTTGAATTCGACTAAAACGAAAATATATTTCAAACCTAAAATTTCCAATAGCCGTGATAAATGATTCAAATTTTTCTTAAGTAGCGTCAGAATGCTGCTAAATATCTTATTTTGATGCTAGGGAATTTTGGTGTATTTTCGTTCTTGGGATCTTAAAACTAACCCGTTTTCTCAACACCTGTCTAAGTGCAACTTCATTCAAAATTTGGACTTTTAGCGCTTCTTTGTATATCTCTGAAACGACTGGAAGAAATTTTTTAAAAACCTCTTCACATAATCTTCATAATGTATATAATTATGTCTGAAACTTTTATTAAGATTGATTTACTGCAACACCTTGAAATTTCAAGACAAACCTATTTTACTTACCGGTCAAAAATCTGCGCTATAACATTCACTGTTTTGACGTTATGCTAATTTTTCCAAATTAATGCGGGCAATACATATAAAAGTATCCATGAATAGTACATTTCAGTGCGAGTATTGTCAATGTTTTACATTCAAAAGATGCGATAAATTGAAACTAAAATGTACTAGTCATGGAGGTATGTATAGTGCGCATTATTTTGGAAATTTAGCATAACGTCAAAACAGAAACAAAATTTCAATCCTGGTGAAAATTTTATAACGATCGGACAAGGAAAAAAACACTTTTAAGGCGATTGAAAAATATAGGTGTGGCCTCTGAAAAAACTGTATCGAAACACCTTAAGCAAGATAAAGTCAAATTTTAAGCAAGGTTTTTATTGTCTAAAAACATGTCACTCGAGCTTGTAAAATACTGTTGTGTCTTTACTCCGAGATTCAATAATGATAACATATAATGCAGAATGTTACTCTGAGCAATGCATAGGACCGTAAATACAAAACATGGAACAATAATTTTTTTAACCCTGGATTAGCGCTTTCAGGAACCGGGACCAGCGCTCCAACCGCTCGGCAATGCTGTGTCCCTGTTTGTATTGTTGATATGCTGCTCACTAAAATACTCCTGAAAACAAGTGTCAACTTGTTGAAAGGATACTTTTATATCTTTTAAGCATTCACCACGTTGTAAAAATTCTTAACAGGTTAACGTACAAGGTTGGAGCGCCGATACCCATAACTGGCGTGCAGTTTGGAATGCGAATAGAATTTGGATATAATTGTCTTACAGCAGCGGATTTTAACGATCAGGTAAGGATGAGATATGTCGTAAAAAAACGGATAACCATAACTTTGAAAAAAGATCACCATCACATTTGTATCATTTCGCAACGATAACTTTGTTTATACACATTTATTTTACACATAAAAACAACTCATTGTTACCTATAACTTCTTTTTACAAGTAACTGCGTTTCGCATTTTTTTCTCCTAAATAACCACCTTATTCCTAAACAAGCATCTTTGCATTTAACTGGTTATAGTTCACGCGCTATTTTAAGAAAGTCACCCTTGCTCTTAAATAGCCATGCTTACCCCCTTTTATTAGTGACGACATTTGCCCTGAAATACCCACCTCTTCAATGTGGTTTTCTGCATTGGTCGAGAGAAAGATAAAACAAGTAGTATGCGCGTAGTTCTAAGTGGCTTTGAGAAAAGGAAAAATTTCAATTACAAAAATTGCATTTACTATTCGTCTTATCTTACTCTTAAACAATTGTAAAAGAGCTATTTATGGATACCATCTTTGAGCATGGATCTTCGGGTTATTTCACCAGTAGGTTAGTGTTTAAGCTATTACTTTTTCGCTGTGAACAGTGAAATGTTCTGAATTCTTGCATTAGGGTCATTGTTTTGGTGGCAGTGGTTATTTTGGTATAGGAGCACCTCAGTTCTTCTACGTTGACATCACCGCACTTACTCTTGGGAAGATCTTCAGACTACTAGGAGCAAAGTTCCAGCTTCCGGAACCTATAGCAAAGACGGGATTCCCAGAAGGCGCTTCGGTAAGCACCTTGACTTGATTATTTCGTTCATTTCTTTGGATATTCAAACACAGCGAAGTAGGTCGAAAGAAAAAGCACAGGTACCCCAAGCTCGAAACTTGCGTCACAGCATTTGCATGGATTATTTCTGTAGCCTACAAATTTGAAAGGATTTTAAAAAATTCAGCTTACCTCACTTTTGTTGCGTATTCCTTTTTTCCTGTGTGGTTTCCGAGCCGATCAAGGGCCATTGGTAATGGTTTTATTGGAACCGGTTTTTGGAAACAATTATATAGAGTACAAATCGGTTCGAATTAAACCCATCAAATGGCCATAAATAAGCGAGGCAACCACACAGGGAAGAATAAGAACACAAGTTAAGTAAAGTTGCCGATTTTATTCAAATCCCTTTACATTCGTGGGTAAAAGAAATGCACATAACTCGGACTTCGGTGGGTTTTCACTAGTGCGCACAGTTATTTGCACGTAATTCTCTTATGGCTTGCTAGAATAGACCGTTTTACCGATACGGCGGCCATTTTGAATAAGTTAGATTTAAGGAGTATTATGGGATGTCCTGGGGGCATGAGCACATTCCGTTAAGTATTTACGAGCGCCTTTCGAAGATTGTAATGGGAAAAAAGATCGTTGTGCCGTGTTAGGATGTAATAATGATCGCCTTCTTCCTGAGAAATATACAGTGAAAGACCATATTTCTAATACTTAGCGAGTACAACGGATAGTGCTCATGCTCCCTGGGCATCCCATAATACTCCTTAAATGAAATCAATTTAATATACGGGCCGCCGTATCGATAAAAAGGTCTATTGCTTGCGTTTCGGATAGGATTAGGGATGGCTGACATTTCGTGATGTCTGTCATAAGGGTATGAATCTTTCTGCATTTCTGGACATAACTCAAGTTTTGAACATTTAGAAATGTTATAACAACTTTGTTTGTTTTAGGTTTCGTACGCTACAGATGCCATCGATCTTCGTATTGCGGGTGGGCCGTACATTCTGAAAGGATTTACCATGAAAGGGAGACTCAACATATTCGGATGGTCAATATTTGCGCATCTTAAATTGTCGGATGAGGTGAGATAAATTAAGGTGTTTCGATACAGTTTTTCTATAAAATTTTCTTCGGTAATTGGCTATGGATTGAAATTTGTGAAAATGTAGTTTTAAGTAAAATCAATATTACCATGACAACGATAAACAAAAAACTTTGAAATTGATAAGAGCCGAATGCTGTGTGATCTAAACCAACAACTGAAAATCCAGCACTAGGAACTTGAAGTTTGGTGTTTAGCAAACAATCTGCGTAAGAAGTAAATAATTCTGTATTTTTGAATTCGTCTAAAACGAAAATATAGTTCAAACCTTAAATTTTCAACAGCCGTGATAGGTTATTTAATAAAAACGTTATAAATGACTAAAATTATTCTTAACTAGCGTTAGAATGCTGCTTAATATCATATTTTGATGCTAGGAAATTTTGGTGTATTTTCGTTCTTGCGATCTTAAAAACTAGCCCGTTTTCTCACCACCTGACTAAGCTAAGTGCAACTTCATTCAAAATTTGGACCTTTAGCGCGTCTTTGTATATCTCTGAAACGACTCGAAGGAATTTTTATAAAATCTCTTCACATAATCTTCATAATGTATGTAATAAGGTCTGAAACTTTCATTGAGGTTGATTGACTGCAACATCTTAAAATTTCAAGACAAAACCTATCTTACGAACCTGTCAAAAATCTGCGCTACAACATTCACTGTTTTGACGTTATGCTAATTTTTCCAAAATAATGCGCACTATAGTCAATCATTGGTGAAAATTTTATACAATGAGACAAGAATAAAATCACTTTTAAACCATTGAAAAATATCGGTATGGCCTCTGAAAAACTATATCGAAACAAATTTGACTCTGAAGATGACTACCGCACAGGTTGTCGAAACGTCAGTCACTGTCAACAACAACAGTCCTATTCAGGACTACGGTCACCCGGACGATCAAACTCAACCTACTTTTGAAATGACTCCTGGGTTCAAACTTTTCACAGTTAAGACTTTATCTTCATGAGTTTTATCAGAATTGTGTTATTTTATTTGCCTTTGTGTGTAAGCTATTCCATGACTCGTTTTAACAAAGCCTTATTACTTTTTCTTTTTTATCCCAATACTAACAACAAGCAAGTAAATCGTAAAAAAAAAAAAAACAATAAAAAAAAAAATCGTAATGACTAGTTTGCTGGAGGTATGTTTATAAACTGTTCTTGCTAGTTTACAGTCACTCCACCGAAATAAGAGATCAGGAATAAAAGACCTGAGTGGAGCAAACACAGGGCTCGCGTAGCGGGATGGGCTAGAAGGGTCAGCCTCTTCCTACTTTTTGCAAATAAATAAATAACTAAATTAATTAATTAATTTAAGTGCAGTGGAACGTCGATATAACTAACGGCCAAGGGACTGGCAAAATTTGGTCGTTATAACGAGGTTCTTGTCCATATATTTTACTATTTCTGGGTTTAAAAATTTTGTGATACCGAGGACCTCGTTATATCAAGGTTCCACCGTAATATACATTTTCATATTAAAAGTATTTTTGCTGGAATAATCTCAGTAAACAAAACAAAACAAAAACAAATGAAAAAAAAGAGAGAGAACAGAAAAATTTCCCCCCCTCCCTACTTTAAAAGAGATGGTCACCAGCCCCCACACTCTAAAAACTGCTCGGACAGCAAATGCCGTTTCAACTGCCTATGAGTCGTTTCTAAAACTCTCCTCTTTGACAAAAAGTGTTAGTATTACTTGCCTCTGATTCACCTACTTCTAATTAGTTTCTGTCTCGCCATCAAGCCTTTATTATCCTTAGAGGCCTTCACACAAAAAGATAATGAAAAAGGTCAGGAGTGAGAATCTTTCTTGTCGTCGTCCCATTATCGAACTCGTGACCCGTGCGCCTTCGTTTTGCCCCTCCGCGTCTACCAGAAGGCCCTTAGAGGCGTTTGCGAAGGAGATAAAAAGTTATTGAGCTAAATATTTATTTGGAGATTTCAACAAACAGGCTCCCATTCATTGATAGAAAATTTCGTGAACGTGGGTGACTGACTGCCAAGCAGGCGATAAGTTTAATTCAAGTTTCATTTATAAGTCTTGTTTAATTCAGTTACTGGGTGCTTAAGCAAACGAAGAAATTTGGATTGGCTGCGTCATCACTTCCCCCAATCAAAAGTTTTCCGAGGACGCTTAGCACACTGCAGATATAGTTTTGCGAACTTACTTGTTTCTTTTTGCCATGAGGGGGAATGTAGAGCACATAATCTTTCACAGACTTAACATAACATGGCATACGGAGTGCGTGTTCCAGAAGTGTGTGTTGCTGGGTTCTCGCTTTGACAATTATTAGTTACCTTTTATGTGATAGATTAAGCAATTTTAGGGCTGTTTTTAAGTTCGAGCGTCATACACATGACGATGTAAGTGTTTTTTGGACTTCGCAAATTAACAAAAAGCTTTTGCTTCTGCCCATTTTTCTTGCGATTGGGTCGCCTGTGTACTTTAGTCCTTCGAAGCTCCTTAACAACAAAAACATTTAGTCCTTTTGTTAATTTCTGTGAAGTAAAATTGAGTGAAACAAATTAAAGAAATGCTATTTGAAGTTTTCTGAGAGATTTCCAATCGCCGGGACAGTACTGCATCGTGTTAAAGCTGATTCCATATGATTGTTTTGATCATCTGAAGAGATTTTAAGACGCGGGTACGACTATTACATGGAGTTTACCTGATTCAACTTGCTCTTAGGACCTTCAAAAGCCAGGATATATCATTTGAGAGTTTTACTTTGCAGGCAATCTTTGTGGACCTCAAACCTGATCCAATCAATATCTTGGGCCTTGCTGTTATCGCCCGTAGTCCGAGTCAGTTGGATTTGGGACCTTGGTTTTATATGGATGCCAGAAAGACTCCACTCTACTACGAGGTAACGTACAATCCCTTCCCTTTACGCATTACCAGGACAGTCCCCTAACTAAAGTTCAACGTAACGAGTGAAAGACGTTCGAAATGAGACGTATAAATTAATAACAGGTGTGGCAGTCTCTGTTAAACTATACATGATGGTACACCTTGCTGCGTGCTGCGACAGTATCTTTTTGTTAATCATTTGCAAGCTAATTGAAGGAATGAAATTTAAATACTTAATTCTCTCTCTCTCCTTACGAAACAAATCATTCATATGGAACATTACAGTGTTAAGAATCCTAACTGGTAGCAGGCGAACCAGTTGGCTATTTCACAAGCGTGGCTATGGATACATGAACATGGGACTGCCAAGAACAAATCCAGCCAGCGGTCAGGGGAAGGGACTTGAAATCGGGGCCTCCAGATTACAAGTCCCTTGCCCACGCTTCCTCCTTTTTTTGCTTAAACATATTTTTGTGCATTATTCTTTTTTTATAGGCATATATAGAGGGGTACACCAAACTACTGGGAATCTCAACGTACGTCCGCTTGAACCTGACCATGAGCCACATAGAACTGTTGATTCAAGGAAACTTCTTAAACCTCATCAAAGCTGAACTGTATCTGACAGCTGGTTACAGCTTAACAGGGTTCAGTGCTAACTTCTATGTCAGAGTAACCGTGGACCTCAGCGGTATCAACAAAGTAAGAAAATCATTGAAAATTTCATGTTTGCAGTCAAAATTGAAAAAAAAATCACTCTTCTTTCTTCTCCCCAAGAGGAGGAAGTTTGTTTGTTTGTAGGCGTAATTGCTCTAATTTATAATTTACACAAAGCATATAAATTATATTACAGGATACATTAATTATGTTCCTGAAGATGTTTGGCCAAACAGATTTAAATCTAATTTTTCCTCGTTTATTTTTAACCCGATAACCTAATGAAACACTCTATCTAGTGTTAGATATATAACATGAAGCTCAAAACAGTCATTTCTATCAATAGGCAAGTTTCGTATTCCCGGGCGGCCTAGGGCGAGTGCTTGTGTTCGCGCGAAAGCGAGGCTAATGCGAGTAACTTCTTGGCAAGAAGACAAACAAACATGAGAAAACTGCAGCTGAGTTACCGGAACATGAGGAAAATCTTAAAGGTTAATGTTTCGAGGGGCTCCAAACATACTTATAGGCTTAAGAAATCATTGCTATGTACAACAAAAGGAAGATCAGCTCTTCGTCACCGAGAAAAACAACGAGCGAAACCAGAAATTGTCCGGAGAGTGGGTTGGTGAGCGAGTTCAATAAAAATGCGAAGATGGTCTCAAAATCCTCAAAACATGGTAAAACCCTGAAGCCGTTTTAATGTCCATTTTTAGTGATCGTCATAACTTCTTTAAGTAAGCCTTTTGTTGAAATGAGGTAGTTATGGAAAAAATGCAATGAAGTAAAACAACTACTTTTCAGTTGACATTTTCTAACGGAGCGGATGAAAAATCATATGTATTTGAAATAAACCAAACAAGCACGTTCGGTGGAAAAATAGGCTGCTTTAGCAGCAGAACGGGAACGTCATTTGACGACAGGAAAGCGCGCGAAAAGGAAAAAAACTCGACTTCCGGTGCCCAATTTGCCGCTCTGCCATTGGTCAAGCCAGTTGTTTGATTTGCGCCCGCCGTCGTCAACTAACGTTCCCGTTCTGTTGCTAAATCAGCTTAATATCTATCACGACGTAGCTGAAGTTCTGCATAGATTCCTTGCACTGTAAGGAAGTTAAATTGGAATGGACAAAGGAGATTTGAAAGGTATACGTTTATTTATACTTTAAGCTTACATTGTTTACAAAAACATTCAGCTACATGGAGAAAAACGATCGACGTATGCACATTTCACTCGATTAGAAGTTGAATACAGACTTATTGTACAGATGATAATACTAATCCATTTTGCAGATATACACACGAGTAAAACGGGATAATAAGAAGTTTGAAAATAAAAGGGAATCGAATATTGACTTTTTTAAGCTTACGTACCATTTTCAAGCTGAAGTTTACTTTTTCTTTTGGCTTCAGTCATGGCTGTTTTCATGTCTCTGTTATAGTTCGACCAGCTCTTTCCGCAGTTTTGCTGTTTGAAATAGGTATCCCTTCAGCGTATTGGTAAAGTTTGAGCCTTGAAATCTTATTATGTTTATGTTCACTTGCCTATGTTTGTCTTTGTCTTTGCCGAGAAGTTGACCGCTTTATAAGCCTCGCAATCTTGCTCGTCTCAGGTCCGTCGGGGAATACGAAACGTGCCTATTGTAGCTGAAAAATAAGGCTCCTATTTCTAAGAAAGCTACACAATCACCAGAACAAGTTCAGGTTTATTCACCAGGAACCAATTGAGTCAATAAACCATTTTTCTGCTTTTTGCCACTCTCTAATCTTAGGCTCTGGACGAGGCCGCCAAAGCTGTAAGAGCAGCTTTTGATGCTGCGGAAAAGAAACTCCGGGACGCAAGAAATGACGTCATTGCGAAAAAAGCTGAGTGTAAAAGAAAGATGTCTCTTAAGTGTGACAGGTGTAAAGACCTGAAATGTAAACAAGCCGAGCGAAATTGCAAGGGATTTTTGGACAAAGTGGGCAAATGGATTGGTGGCGTCGTCAATGCTGCAGGTAATAGAGACCTTTAGATTCGAGGGCGAGAACGACTACGAGTACGAGATTTCATTTAAAGTTTTTTCGCGTATTGTCAAAAAATATACACTCCGGAATTCTTCATTGTTTCTTTTTTTTACCAGATAAGTTAGAATTGTTATCGTTATTGAAGGAGGTTAAGACCTCTTCCGATTGCAAAATGCTAAAACTTCTAACATTTGATAACTTGTTCTCGCTAAAAGACCTAAAACTCGTAGTGGAATGACAACGGCTACCACGTTTTCCCGCCAAAATGACGCTGGCTCACGCGCGTACACTTCTTACTACTGAGAAAATCTCGTACTCTTAGTCGTCCTCGTCTTAGAATCTAAAGCTCTCTAATTAATGTAGCGCCCTACTTCCGTACGTGTAGGTTGTTGCGCGATACAAATTTGAGTTAACTTTGGATTTAACCAAAAGTACGACCGAAGTCTAGAATTAATTCAAGACCTAGAATTTGATGCCCTTATCTCACGATATCTGACATTAACTTAAGCACGAAAATATAAATTCTTCCGTGTTACACTAACGCGGACCAGCGCTCAGCACTCAAACGCTTTTATTGAATTTTATTTTGGGGTGTTAGAGAAGAACATGAGATATATGAATAAATTTCATTCCATGGGAAGCGTGTGGCTATCTAGGAACTAATTAATCAAGAAGAATATGATCGTTGATAAAATTCTTGTCCTTTCTTTTTCTTGAGTAATGTGCAGTATTTAAAATTAGTATTTTGCACGGCACAATTTTATCTGGCATCTTTGTAATACGGTATTTTATTTTAGCTAACCTTGGAATGTATTTGTAGGACAGTGGATCAAGAAGACTTTTAATAAGATCGGAAAAGCATTGGCTCCGGTAAGCTTACATTCTAAATTAATTTTCAAGAGTACAGACTCTCCCTGCAGTGGTAAAAACCAAACCATACCTGAGCGCAGACCTAACGTCTTTAATGGTTGGGGTGAAGGGGTCGGAGCGCTTACTGAGGTGATAAAGGGCATCTTACGCAAAAGAGGGCCGGGTTTCATGGAGACCCAGGGAGAGGCATTTAGTTGGATAGCGACTCGGGAACTGGATTGCAGTTGATTGTTTTTTTGTTGCTTAAACACCACTGATTATAATTTTTAGGTTGGTAAAGCTATCAAGAAATTCTTTAAGGGATGGAGAAAGAGAAGAGAATTGCAAGACATGCGCGATGAAAACTTTGCTTTACACATTCGTCGACGTCGGTTTATTAGCAAAATTATTTGCGAAGGTCTTGTTGGAGGAGGCTGCAGTGGTCAGTATAAGTGAATTCACCACATTCTTATGTCAAAGAATAAGATTCATAGTAACTGCAACTGGGCTGATTTCCTCTTTTTAGCAAAACGTCTACCTTCGTGTTGTTAAGAACTATTTGACTATGACTAGTTTCTGCAAAACTGTATAATAAATAAGAATTCGATCTTGCTATATCACTGCATATTCAAGAAGCTCTGCTTGGTTGAACTGAATTTTAAGCATGTTTTGAACATGTAAGTAGTCCAAACAGTGCCTAGCTTATGTATGTGAGCCTGAAATATTGTGCGCAGTCAAAGTATAACACCTGTGTTTATTCTGCCTTGCCCTTCAGCCGTATCTCACCTTTGTGAAGGAACATGCAGAGCCGTGGAGTTTATCGGAAAGGGTCTGTGTAATGTTTTGGATGTGGCTATTGGTTTCCTTAAAGTAGTGGAGACCGCGACGCGCTGGGTTGGCAAGGCAATAAACTTTATCCTCACTGCTTTGTTTAGAATCCACAGGTAACTCTTATGGTTCCTAAATAATCGTTACCACCGCCTCGATCGATGAGTTATTTTTTTTCAGCCACCGTTCGCGTTCTTTCTTTTACTGATGAAGGTCGTTATCTGTCTCTTTCTTTGTTTAAATTGATTATCTTTCTTGTGACTCGGCAATTCAGGGATGACAAAAAGTATTTATAGTTGGTGTGTAACTATGGTTAAAATGTTATGTAATTATCCTGCGATAAATATGAAATCATAGTCTCCCATGGGATTTGAATCAAGGGTATTTAAAACTTTTCCTTTTAAAGAAGCAATGAATTCGGAACAAGGACTTGAGTTCACTCCTGGGATCGACGTGAACTCGGGACCACTCGCACAGAAGGCTGCGCGCTGACCATCAGTGCTAATCCTTCTTCCTAAACATAACATCCCAGAATATCAGTTTCTAGAAACGAAACAATCCCCATGGCACTTCCCTGAGGCACTGCATGTGTCCTCAAGATTCAATAGCCTGGTACCAACTGTAACGTTTGTTTTGTTACCCTACAGCATCAAATTCGAATTTGGTCTGGACGTTTACGCAAGCGGCGGCTTTAAAAACCTAATTTTCAATGCCGCTATTGACTTAACCATATTTGGAAAACGCCTCTATCTTGCCATTGGCTTCAACTTGAACGATCCTGTAGGCAGTATCCGGTTTGGGGCCGACAAATCTACAGAATGGTACAAAGATAAGATGAACAAAAAAGGCGCCACGAGTACTGCAGAGAACTACTATGACAATCCTAATCCATTCGCTGACTTTGAAATGTCAGGTACGCTCTTATCCTCTAAAGCTATGGATGTAATACAATGTTATATACTGATCCCGCAAGAAGTAATTTTGTTTTCTAAAGGTCTCGAGCGAAAAAGAATGGAAATCTTACGACGATTCTCTAATGAAAAGAAAAGGGTCTGAAAGACCACTTTAGAATTCCAACTTTAATGGAATTGGCTGTGATTACGCTAAGCCTACAACTTGAATCGGAGCGTGTAAATCATACCTGCGACAACTGTACGTCAGCTGTAGATTTGCTTTGCACGATATAACTAGCTATGACTTGTGTAAAGTGATCGACCGATGATATTACACGGCAATGTTGTATCACGTTACTTAACCTGCGTCGCAGGCGTGAAAAGGGGAGGGGCGATAAAAGAGAAAGGGAAAAGGGAGAAGAAGCGGCGTCCCTTTTCCTTTCTCTCCAGTCCCCCTCCCTTTTCCTCTCCTTCCTTACCCGTTTCGACATTTGCCCTGCAGGCTACGCGTTGTGACTTCATGCTAATTATTACTGATAACTTGAACCATAGACCACTTTTGTGTGTGGCTTCAAAACCTATAAGGTAACCAAAGTAGAAGCCCGCGAATATATTTGGTTACAAGACCTAGAACTGGACGTATAGGTACGAAGAACAATAGATAAACTTTGAAGTGAAATTGCTGACATCGACATTTTTTCGGCTCAGAATACTTCTTGATCGAGAATCAGCAGTCGGCAACCGATGACATACGAGGACCTTGCCTTTTCGTGGACTCCAAGACAGATGGTGCCAAGATTAGAGTAACAGGATGCAATGATACTGACGAGAGACAGAACTGGGCTTACACTTTGAAAGGACAAATTATGGTAAGGCTACCTTATTTAACGTCATAAGCGAATACATACATGTAGCATGGACGGTGACTACCTGACGCCGCATTTCTGAATAACGTCTTTCAAATGAATTTGGGCTCAGTGGCGTTAATCATTTAAAAAATAGCAAAGTGTTAAATGCATAATCGTTCTTTTGAGTTTAATTAATAATCGACATGCCACGAGCGTGGGATGAAGAAAAAATCCTGCGTCCTCGATGTGATAAGAACCTATGACCTCCCAAAACCGGGCGGATGTTTAATATCCAGTAAACTACAGAGAAACCCAGGAGGGGTAGCATGTTCCAGGCGTTCAGATAGTGGAGTGCACCACCTCTTTGCCAGTTTTGCCTGTCGTATCTCTGCGTCGTTCCCACAATCTGAACACCTGTAACTGGCTACAGGAGGGCATGACCATTCATCGAGTTCATATGAGCCACACGTCCTACATGGTGTGAGGTATAGCAAAGTTGTGAGCACACGGTATGGTGATTAAGAAGCTCGTAGTGGAAAAGAGTAATCGCCATATCAAGAAAATTTGTTTAACATGTTAACTTTTCTTGGACAGATTGCCTTAGCTTTTAAACGTGAATAAGACTTAATTTTTGTTGGACTGGCCAGAAAAAGATAATAAAAAAACTTACTGCCCAAGTTAGGATGAAAATGGGAAAGGGATACCCAAAATAATTGTTATGTTCTGAAATTCCTCACGCAAGAGATTCTCATCACTTCTATTTATGGAATCCGGCGGGATATTGATGCTAGGAAGTGCTGTATTTTGTCCCACAGAATACTTGGTCAAAGCTTTGTATCGATACAAACGGAGCATCCAAGGGTTCACAGCTGATTCAAAGCAAGTGCGAACCGAGACAAGATGATCAGAATTTTGAGTGTGACCTGGCGGTTAGGTCGATCAAGCGAAGACGAGCCGATATGTGTTGGACTGTGGGTGAGTTGTACAATTGGAAAACACAACGTTGACTCTAAAATTTGTTTACCAAGAGGCTCTTAGAGCCTTAAAGAACCCGTTTGAAAGTGCTTAACCGTTCCAGATCGAATTAGAATTCGGAAGTGTTGATTGTTGAGGCCAGGAAGAAAAACTTCCATTCTGGAGCGAAAAAGAGAGCCAAAACCAACGCCAACACCGTGGTCAGGCGAGACAAATTTGCGAATGCCAAGCAAAAACTCAAAGCGAAGGTTTTTACTTTACTTAGTGAGAGTTTAAGAAGTTACCAATACGCCGTTAATTTACTGAATTTTTCGAAAGTTTGCTGAAAAACGTCCTAAGTGTCTGAAAACAGAAACTGGTGTCATCGTCGGCGTCAATTACCAGCATAATTTTACTCAGGAACGCCTAGTGTTCAAGGAAAAGAGCTCAGTAATTTGAGAAAGATAAAAATAAAGTTTCGTTGGCTAATTATTTTAAAAACCCTTATCCATTTTTCACTTACTGACCTGAAATACCAGTCAATAATGAAAAAGACGTTATAAACGTTTGACTACGTTGGCCATACATGCCATAGACGCCGGAACTCGAACCCAAGCCAAATTGGCGGGAGGCGTCTGCTATCACCACTGCGGTATCTCTGCAGAACTCATTTTGCAAATAAAATCGTCATTTTTTTTTCCCATTAGGTTCAACTAGCCTGGCTGGGCCGGGCTCTCTGGTCCATCTCGGTTCTTTGAAATGCATCCATCCACAGGGGGGAGGAGACAGTGTGTCAGAGGGTGCCAAGTTGCTCATTCATAGTGGATGCAGCTTGAGCAGGTAACAGACACTACCCCACAGATTCACTGAATCCTAAACCTTCTGGAGATTTGACTGATTTTCTGTTACTAGGCTAGAGTTTAAATTGGAGAATGGAAATTTGAAGCATACAAAGAGTGGAAAATGCGTGCGGCCAGCAGGAACAGTTGCTGATGGCGTTGCCCTTGGTTTGTACTCGTCATGTGGCGGCCATCAGTTTAGTTTCACAACTGGAGGATCATTGCAGCACGTGGGCAGCAAGAAATGCATCAATTCTAAATCAGGGGTAAGTACTATGGTGCACTGAGTTGAAACAGCCAGCTGAAGAGGTAAGAAACAGTTAATGGACGAGGCTGAATATAATATGAAGTATTATGTAGGTCGAAGGGGAAGACATATGCCTCCTCGAATTCAAAGGATGAGGTAGATAACACCTCGGTGCACTGTGTTGGACAGGTTCTTAGCAGTTTTGAAATGCGAACGAATATATATTTTTTTAAACTTACTTTTTGTGTTTTCTCTTACTCTCTTTGTCGGTAATTCGCCTATTTCGTCCTCGCTACAATTTACCGTGCTCTGGTAGATACTGATACGCAAAAAATGTTTTATAATTGCTTTCTTTAGGGCTCCAAAAGTTTTACTTAAATCGAAAAATGTATCCTCCAGTATCCTTTAAAAGCCTAAAAAAGATTGCCCATATTCAACGCTTGTTTTCTTTAGGGAATGATCCCAGCCAACAATGAAGAAATAGTCCTGAGCAGCAAATGTGAAAATAGCGATACCTCCATACAAAAGGAACATCTCTTATTCAGCTTTATACCAAGTAAGTTGACTGACATTTATAACATTTCAGGGTTGTATTTCAATAACTGTTGATTCGACCTGCTCCACATTGCTGTAAAGCTTTATACGGAGATATATTAAGGCCGTATAGTTTGAGTTAAAATACCTCCTCAGCATAATTGGGCGGATAGGATGGGACTGGGCGCCAAATGGAGTAGTCGTGTTTTTTTTGTCGCTCCGACGCTGCCTTGCCGTTTCGCTATATCAGTTTCAGGAAATTAGCCAAATCAGCCTCAAACTATTTAGAGAATCTTTGCTTTTCCTTTCCGTTATGCCCAACGAAAAGCGAGCGAGACAAGAGGCATGCTTAAGCAGTGAAGATGAAAGAACGCCACCACATAAACATGAGGCCGGCGCCGCCATCTTGGAAAGCATACACGAAAAGCTAAAGAAGCTAGACGTGCTTGAACAAATAAACGGAAGACTACTGAAGATTGAAAATACCGTAGGTGACATGGAAAGAGGACTTAACTCTATGACAGCAGAACTGCAGAAGGTAAAAACGGATTTAGACTCAAAAGCAGATAACGCCACTGTCGATGCGCTGAAGGATGAAATCGAAGAATTACAAAACAGGTCAAGAAGGAACAACTTAGTCTTCTACAATATACCAGAGAAAGCCGAAAAAGGAGATTGCATCTCTCTTGTACAGGATTTTATTACGCAGCATATGGGCCTTGAAACGATATGTGGCCATGTTGAGCTGGAGAGGCCACACCGCACGCCAAGCAAAACGCCTTCTGCTGGTGAAAAGGGTCCCAGACCAATGCACGTCGCTTTTCTTCGATACACGGATAAGATGAAGGTACTAAGGAATGCCGCCGCTCGTCTAAAGGATAACCCGTTAAACGGAAATGCCATCGGTATAAGTGAGGATTTCGCCAAAAAAACCCAGCGGCGGAGGCAAGAGCTCGTGCCCTACAGAAAGTTTCTAAAGAAGAAACTCGGAGACGACCGGAAAGTCTACATCGCATATCCTGCAATACTCAAATATGTCGATGCCAATGGCCGTCACAGAATCGTAGGAACAGAAGAACTAGCAAAACTACGCCATGAAATGGAAGAGGCAAAGAGTTAACCTAGAAACGCCGTCGGAGTGATACTGACCAACAACAACTTTAATCTCACATTCTACCCATTGTTGGAGTTAAAAGAACTTCACAGGCAATGCCTTTAATTTGTTTCATAAAAGGTAATTTTCGTTTTTATGTTGTAAGTGATGCAATGTTTTCTCCAGGCTTTAGCTTAAGAAGGCTTCTGTATTGTGAAACTATTAAGATATCGATATTTATTCGTTAATATGAATAAGTTAACTTTTATTACGTTAAATGTTAGGGGTTTAAATAGTTCAAGAAAACGAAGAGCTATTTTTCGGCAACTGCACGTTAACAAGTACTCAATAATTTTCTTGCAAGAGACATATAGCTCTACTGACCAAGAAAAATTATGGGATAACGAGTGGGGTAGTAAGGTGTACTTCTGTCATGGAAGTAAACACAGCAAAGGAGTAGCAATTCTGTTTAATCCTCGACTCAAAGTGCTAGTAGAAAATGAAATTTGTTGTGAAAACGGCAGGACTCTTATCCTGCAGTTTTCTATAGATGATCAGAAATATATTTGTGCCAATATTTACGCACCCAATAATGATAACGCGCAAATTATATTTTTTAAACAACTCTTTACTTGAACAGTTTCCCAACGACAACATTATAGTAGGTGGCGATTTTAATTGCCCTCTTTCCAAAACCGATAAAGAAGGAGGACGTGATGTTTCGTCAAGAAGGAATGTCGCCAGTGAGATCGAGCAACTGATGTGTATTTTAGATTTAGACGACGTATGGAGAACGCTACATCCAGAAGAAAAACAATTTACTTGGCGAACATCTGACTTGAAAATAAAATGCAGATTAGATTATTGGCTAATAGCCCGTCAACTATTACAAAATTCCCCCGTGCAGAAATGTGAAATCAAGCACGCTGCACATTGCGATCACTCTTTAGTGACGTTGGAATTGCCAATTAATGAGATCGAAATACCCAAGAGGACCTGGATTCTGGAAATTCAATTCCTCCGTCTTATAAGATGATGAATATGCAGAAAAATTAATGTTTAAAATTCCGCACTTTATAAACAAGTATCAGGATCTTGAAGATCTCGGACTCTTATGGGAGTTGATTAAAATGGAAATAAGGGCGTTTACAATTAGTTATTCAAAACAAAAAGCTAAAATGAAAAAAGATTATGAAAAAGATCTCGTACAGGAAGTCTCAAGACTGGGAAATATGGGTGAAAACTGCCCATCAGCAGAAGCCGTCCAGAGATACATTAAAGTTAAGAACGAATTGGATAAGATTTCCTACGACCGGGCAAGAGGAGCATGTGTGCGCTCCAAGGCCCGTTGGCATGAGTTCGGCGAACGAAGTTCGAAATATTTTCTTAATCTTGAGAGACGAAATTATGAAAATAAATGCATTACCAGCCTTATACAAGAAAACGGAAGCAGTATCACGGACCCAAAGGAAATCCTAAAAGAACAAAAAAGATTTTATCAATCCTTATATTCCTCGCAAAATCCTCAAGTAAACGATCCTAAATTCAAAGTGTTCTTCGATAATGACAAGTTAGAAAAGCTGAATGATGAACAAAGAAAGAACTGCGAAGGCTTGCTGACGGAGAATGAGTGCTGGAATGCTTTAAAATGTTTCCAAAAAAACAAATCCCCTGGCAATGACGGTTTTACTGCCAAATTTTACAGCTTCTTCTGAAGTCAATTAGGCAAGATAATGGTAAACAGTTTTAATTATGGATTCCATAAAGGTGAGCTGTCAATCTCTCAAAGACAAAGCATCATACGTCTTATTCCAAAAAAGAACAAAAATTTATTGTATCTTAAAAATTGGAGACCTATTTCACTTTTAAATGTGGATTATAAGATTGCCTCTAAAGCTTTAGCTCTCAGACTAAAAAAGGTTCTATCGGCAGTTATAAATAACACACAAACTGGTTACGTAGAGGGAAGATTTATCGGTGAAAACATCAGACTTATAAGCGACATCCTCAATTTCACCGTTGACCAGGACATAGAGGGAATTGCTTTATTTATCGATTTTGAAAAAGCATTCGATACGTTAGAATGGGAGTACCTATTTAAAGCTCTAGATACCTTTCAATTTGGACCCGACTTTAAGACTTGGGTGAAAACTCTGTACACAAACATTTCTAGCTGCATAATAAACAACGGCTTCGCCTCCGAGTCATTTACTTTAAAGAGAGGAGTAAGACAAGGCTGCCCTTTGTCTGGCTTGTTGTTCATTTTAGCCGCAGAATTACTGTCTTGCTCAATAAGAGCTGATGAACATATAAAGGGAATTCGAGTCCTAAACAAAGAAATAAAATTATCTCAATATGCCGATGACACCACCTCCTTTTGCAAAGATAAAGAGTCGCTTGGGAAACTGTTAGAGTTATTAGACCTATTTAAAGATTGCAGCGGTTTAAAGCTTAACCAAAGTAAATCTGAAGCAATGTGGCTTGGAAAAAACGCAAATAGGACTGATACACTATTTGGAGTTCAGTGGCCACAAAGGCCTATCTCCGCCTTAGGGATATCATTCTCTTACAATCTAAAACTTTGCGAACAGGAAAATTTTTCACAAAAGATATGTAAAATTCAAAAGCTGTTTAATATATAGTCTCAAAGAGATCTCTCACTTTATGGCAAGATAACAATCGCCAAAACATTAGGGCTATCGAAACTTATCTTTGTAAGTTCGTGCATACATACACCGCCTCATTATATAGATATCACTAATAGATTGATTACAGATTTTGTCTGGAATAACAAGAAACCAAAGATAAAAAGGGATACTCTTATAGGTCCAAAAGAAAGAGGAGGGCTGGATTTACCAGAATTTGAGACTATATCCAAGTCGTTACAAAGTGCTTGGGTTCAAAGAATGAAGAATGGTGTAGAGGATCAGTGGATGTTAATTCCTTTATTTTATTTGAAAAATGTTGGAGGGCCATTTATTTTTGATTGTGATTATGATGTAAAATTTCTAGGCCTAAACAACTTACCAATATTTTACGCTGATGTTCTTAACACCTGGGCGGAAGTCCGAGAGCAAACTTCGGACAATTAAATCTGTGTTGAGAATGTAACCTTATGGAATAATAAGCATATTTTAATAGACGGTAAATCAGTAAATTGGAAAGAATGGCATGAAGCTGGTATACTTAGAATTAAAGACCTACTAGATGAAAAAAAACAGATTCCTCACACTTAATAAGTTTCTTTTAAAAACTGGCCTCAAGGCGCCTTTTACTAAGTTATTTGGTTTAATATCAGCTATACCTTATAGATGGAAGTGCGCTTTGAGACCGGGATTTATCATGAACAATCAAGATATGGAACAAAATACAACTAAGGAAATTAACGTGGTTACTAGCAAGAAGGTTCGCAATATACTTATTCAAAGGAAATTTGTAGAACCGTTGGCTAGCCTTCGACTATGCAGGCAAGGATTGGACAGTTCCAAACTTAGTTCCATTTATATGCTTCCATTTAAAATAACTAAAGAAACAAAATTAAGCATATTTCAATATAAGATTGTTCATAATATTCTTCCACATGGGGTTCTGTTACACAGAATGAAAATCGTAAACTCTCCTCTCTGCATACATTGTGGTTCCCTAGAAACGCTCTCCCATATGCTAGTTAACTGTATAGTAATTCAAAAGTTTTGGTTTGAAGTAATTAGCTGGTGGAAAACTCACAGTGGTGAATGTTTGCTATTTTTAAGTATAATGTATGGCTATAATCCCGAAGATCCTAAAAGGCAAATCCTTAACTATTATATCCTTCTTGGCAAGAGACATATCTTCCTGCAAAGGAGCGAAATTAAACCCCCAAGCTTTGATCACTTTCTTGAATTCGTTAAAGACAAGTTAATTGTGCAAAGATCGATTTTTTATTCCAAAGGACAAAAAGCAAAACTTCTTTCACAAATGAAGCCTCTCCTCTCCTTACTGTAAATGATTATAATCTAATCTACGTATGCGTGAAGCAAGCCTGGTTGCAGTGTATGTTGTATTAATCGTTGGAATCTTAATTCTTAATTGTAATTTTTTTGTAACCTTAAATTTTGTAGTGAAAGTGTTGTAAGTGATGTAGTGGTAATAAAGATCTCTGTTAATAAAAAATAAATAAATAAAAAAAAAATAATTGGGCGGATAGGTGCCTTCAATTCTTTCACAGAAGAGTAGACTGGGCCTTCTGGTCTACGAATTGCCGAACACTAAGAGCATAATTATGCTGTTGATGAAGATGGTGTGACATTCAATAAATTTGCTTAGAGTTCGGAATCCGTTATTTTTTGATATTGTTCATCATGGTTTGTGAGACATACCCAGGCGATCTCTCCACCCAGCTGTACAACTGGCTGCAAAAGGCGTAGTACTAGGGGAACACTGCATGAGGGTGGATGAAACCATTCATTACAAAACCGTATTTATTCGATTAAACACCGCGGTGTTAATAATATTTTTAACTTTTCCGATGCGGCGTTTATTTCAGAATCACATTTCTTAAATCATTGACCACGATTTCGATGGGTCATATGTAGATATTATGTACCAAGGGAAGTTATTTTAAAGTTCCTCGCTTCTTTGCTGAGATAGAATCGCAGTTGACTGAGTGGCGTAGATGACCAAGCTGTTACAAGTTTTTTTCTTACATTCCTCGAAAAAACGCGGCATTCCACTGATTGGATACGGTGTTTTGCCTCCATCTGCGGCATTTAATAGAGGGCGGCGTTTAATCGAGTACAACTACGGCATGTATTTTAAATTCACTACCGCCCCTCTCTCTAACCAACAGGCGATCCATATGTCAAACTGGACAAGTGCGGATATTTTGACCAAGCAAGGCTGGATCAGCGGTTTGAGGTGGTGGATGAGGAAATTGTAAGCATTTGTAGCAAGTTTGCCAGAAGTAAGTTGCATGTATTTTTAACGCAACAAGACCTTACGGGGTCAAGAGCGCGATTTCTTGAATTCGCCAATAACATGCTTTTTTTCGCGTGAGTCAATTCGGCGAAAGTTCACTTTTAACATACTTTGCTTTGCGAGAACGTAAAAGCCGCGCACTTTCGCAGAGTAGCCAAAATATTTAGTCGTAATTCAGTACGAAGGACAATTTTACAAAGTAAACACAGCGAACTGTCCTTACAAACAAGACCAATATTTGTATTCTTTTCAGATCTTGCCTTCAAGAAGAAAACGGAACAATCAAGCACTGATTACAATGGTTTCAGTAGCAGAGCTGTCGATGAAAACTATTCAATCTACTACAGTCAAAAGACGTGCACGCATACTAAGAGAGAAATGAACCCATGGTGGAGGGTTGATCTGGGCAGAGAATACATTGTAACAGGTGTGTGCAGTAACTCGGAAGGATTGCCTGTGCCATCTTAGATTGCAAGCTTTCTCTTACTTTTTTTTTTTCAAGTAAACTGTAAAGTTTGCAGAGAGGCACACGTAAGATGGGAGTAAACAGAGAATGATTCCAGCCCTTTCCTGTAATTTCAACCTTCATTCAGAGGACACCTCTATTCAGCGGACACTTGCCTTGGTCCCGAGGGTGTCCCCTGAATAGAAGTTCCACTGAATTCCAGATAGAAGTTCCACCGTAAAATATATATATATATATATTTTGCCTTTTTGTGACTTTATCCAGAGAATATTAATATTAAATCTAACATTACCAAAAGCTTGGTCAATGATTGCCATCGGCCTTTAAATACCGACGACCTTTTACAAAACTGAAAGGGAATAGGCAGAGGCGAGCGGTTAAAGCCATGTGACGCGTAAATATTTTTTACTTGCGTGCTTTTTGTTTCTGACTAATGAACGGGAGCAGTTGCTGTTAGTCAAGTACCATCTAGATGTGTAATAGTCTGGAAAAAATCCGCGAAATGTTGTCCTTCTTGAACAACTAATTAAAATAAGCTGATTGCCAATGCCGGAACAGATATAATGTGAACATGCCAAAAACTGGACTAGATATCTTGCAAATTTGATGGTCTTGGCCAAAAGAAAACAATGAAACAAACAAAAAAGGACAGATAATGGCAGAGACATTAACCTTATTTTTCGTGTTTTTCAGACATAACGTTGCTTATAAAACACCCGTCTTTCGGTTCTTTATCATCAGTCGCATGCAATAAATTGTTTGTTTACTTCAACCCTCTTTTATTTCCTATCCAGACGTCATGATTGTCAATCGCAATGATTATTACCAACGGCTTAAAAACTTTGACGTGAGAATAGGGGTGAACAAGGATAACTTACAGAACCCCACTTGTCATGACCGCGTAAGGACTGTGGGCCAGGGACAAGCTCTGAGAGTACAGTGCGCTCCACCAATCCCAGGACGATATGTGTCGGTGCAGATGTTTGGTGAAGGAATTTTGACCATGTGTGAGGTGACAGTATACTCGCGGGTTGGTGAGTCTTAAAGAATTAAAATTAAACGAAAGAAATTATCCTTTTTATTCAAAATCCTCTTAAAAAGTTAAATTATGGCTGGTTTCAATAAAACTTTCTTATGACCCTTTTTGTCAATAAGAGCTTTGGTGCAGGCAAATTGTAAATTATCGATTTACCTGCAAACGTCTGTCTCTGATCTCGGAGGGGCAGTGATCTCCATCACGAAACCGTAACCGGCTTAGGAAAGGTTAGACCCTGTTTGGGACAAAACAGCTAATAAATTAGAACAGCGAGTTCAAAAACAATCTGAACCTGTGCAGAGTCACTTTACGTAATACACGAAAGAACACTCCGACAGTTAAAGGATTTACATAGCTCCTTGCAGTCATAGGAAGATTAAGTTCACGACCATATTATACTGAAGACAAATTCTTGTTTCAAAATAGAGCTCAAGACCTTCAATAGAGAATATCACTAAACTGGAATTAAAATTCGATCATTAGGTGCTTTAGCTGATCTGTGTCAGCTTTCTAATGGAGGTTGCGAACAGGTTTGTTATAACCTGTGTAACTTGGAAGTCAAGTGTGGTTGTTGGCCTGGCTACACTCTAGCTTATGATGGAAAAACCTGCATTGGTAAGTGGAGGCTTTATAGCAGTTTAGACTTACTTCTTTTTCGTGTTGTCAACTTTAATTTTTTTATTAATTCTACTATGCTTAACCCATTCCCCCCTGAACCGCCCATTACCACTCGGGCGGATCCCCGCCTCCTCTACGGCTTGTGACGTCATCAGTTTTAACGGTCAATGATATCTTTGTCCGCTAACTTAAGCAGGGTGAAGGGCTCTTTCCATCCATATCAGAATGAGGATGATTGAGACCGGAGAAAATGACTAAAAAAAAAAAAAAAATACAATACCATGCAACATTGACCGGAAAATTTCCACGAAAATCTTGCCCAGCCACCTTTCCTCTCATCTAATCCTAATCTAATCCTTGTTTTTTCTTTACTTAAATGAGAAAATGAGTAGTTTCACATTATTTTCATCCATAGGAATTGTTTTAAACTGTTTTTATCTGCTCATTTTCTATTTTGTCAAATTCTCAACTTTTTACTTGAGTCTGTCATTTTCCGTTTGCCGTAGTGGTGACTCTAAATCTCTCTATTGATCCGACGTTTCGGTCGCGTACCGCAGGTTTTCATTGGGCCATAGTGCCGATGTACAGAGTTGGACTATTAGTATTACCTTGGTTCTTTCATGATCGTGTCTGGTCAAATTTTTTCAGCCGGTCGAAAACTCGTCCGATGCTGTGTGAACGAAGTCTCCCTCGCAGCCGTTTTTTTGAATGTCGAATGTTACACTTACGTGACAACGCGTACCACAGGGCGCCCGCGCCCTAGTGGCCATCCCTTCCAATACAGTGAAATCGAAGTTATCTACCCGTGGGCCTTTGTCTTTCTTTCTTGGTTTTGGAAGAGATTTGCACATGGCCAAGACTGTTTCTCAGAGCGATTTCAAAATACAATCCGGAATCGCTTTTAGCAAGTTTTACTCCGTCTGCAGTTTCTGGTCGGTTAAACAGCAACTCTCCTGGGGAAATGAGTTTCGGGTTTCAATTTTAAAATAAACTCTATTTTCATATCTTTTTTGCATTATACCAATACTTAGGGTCAAAAGGTACAAAACTTTGTATCTAATGAGTATTTCTCACGATTACTGAAATTTACAGACTAGAGCAACCGTTATGAAAAATGGTAAAATGGGATCCTGGTAAAATTATAAGAGATCCCCGAGGAGAGATCACGGGGGTCGCGCGTGACAGTTCGGCTCAGCGGGCCTGTGATGTGATACGCGCTTGACTCGATTGTATTTTGAATCGAGCGAAGAAGTGAAGTGTTTGTCTTCGCTCTGATACAAGTCCCTTGCAGAATAACGAAAAAAAAACACGGAAGCTCAGGTAAATCATTTTTCTTTCATTATACTGGATGAATGAGTTATGAAGTCTCCATGGCCTCTAGCCTCCACATGTACTCACTTCAATTCCATTACAAACATCATCAGTGACGCGAAGTGCAAAAAATTCTCAATGGCAGAAATTCATGCATTATTGAGGTCCGTTTAGTGATTTACTGTCGACGCTTTTGCTTTTCACCGACACATGCCCACCGTTCATTGAGTACATGTCTCGGGAAGTCAAGAGTTGAGGCCGTGCGGTGAAATTACATGTAAATGGTGGCTGCACTTTGTTAAAATGCTTTAAATATTAGCTAGATAAAACCGCATTGTTCCAACAAATTCTCTTCCGTAGAACTAAGAACATGTTCTTGGCTTATTTGTTCATGTTGTATTGGTAGACAACTGTTATACAAACTTGTGCAACGCAGACAATTAACAAAATCGAACTTCCCGTTAGCTTTTTGGACATCTTTTGACATCTGCTTTGTGTCCTTTGTTCGCAGATAAGGACGAATGCCAATCTAACAATGGAGGCTGTGATATTGCAAATGGCCTCTGCATTAACACCCCCGGAAGCTACCACTGCGCATGTAAGCAAGGATATGAACTGAAGGAGAACAGTGAATTCCTCTGTGAAGGTAAGAGGTACAAATCCTATTAAATGTTAAGGCCCCGGCCCTTGGGCAGAGAAGGCGTTATTTCTTCGCGTTTTTTCGGCGAGTAAAGACAAGAACGCTCGGGGGAGTTGGGGGGGGGGGGGTAGTCCCTTATCGACTTTCATAGGCGTACGGGCAATTTTTTGCCAGGGGGGGCGGTAAACCATTTGCCCAAAAAATTCTTGCAAGTTGCCCAAATTTTTACAAAACAGTCGAACAGAAACGAGGGCCATACCATGCAACAACATAGGCCGTACTAGCATATGAAAAGGGCTCGATACAGTTTTTCAGGGTCAATACCTGTGAAGTTTTTTTTTAACATAGACTACGACACCATAAACAAACATTTGGAAAAATTGCCACCACAGTTGTATTAAATAAAGATGAAAATTTGTTATGATCCGGGTTGCAATAACATCGGAGTTGTCATAGCAACCAAATGATGCCATTACCTATTATACTTGCAGCAACATTTCTCAATGGGAACTTTTCTTCCAAAATCGTTCACGGGAGAATTTTCCTCCAATAGTCGCCTTGATGTTTGTGAAGTTAAAACGGAATCTGTAAGAGCGTTGCGGAGATATTTTGGGATAAAGTTTTTATCGTTAGAAATACGGTAAAAAAGGAAAATCTTGATGTTTGGCCGTTATCTGTAGAAAACGAAGCGTTTTTGACATGCAATTTCACCTCATAGTAGTTTCAATCTTTTCAAAAACGTGGGTAAAAGATCATGGAGATAGCTTTGGCCAAAAAGGAATTTGAGTATTTAGTATGTATCATGGCGCTCTTGTTAGCGGTTTTGTAAACATTTTGGTCCAATTTAACAAATTAGTGAATAATTTTAAAACCACTCGATAGATTTTTGTAAAAAAAATTACGATTCTTCGCGTAATTCAAACTGAGAATTAGTCAGCCACTTCTCCACTTTCAGACCCATTGCTGATGCTATCTGCCATACACTGTTCTACGAGCGGAGATGATTCTAGAAAGTTAGGCGGAAGTTTATTCTAATCAATCCACGACTGGAAATTGCCCATTGCAGTACAGTGCCCAACAATAAAAAAAAAAATCAGCACATAATACCCTTCCCTTACAACCAGAAACTCATTACCTGCTAGGCAACCACTGTCTTGTGTGAATGTAACAGTACTGGATTATTACGCCAACTTCAGGTTAAAATAAAAAAATTGATCTCTTCAAAATAATGATTTAAAAAACACGGAAACGTCTTAAAAAACTAGCTTTGCCCAAATTTTCTCTCGCTGCCCAAAAACTCTGAGTTGCCCAAAATTTGGGGGGGGGGGGGGGGGCTGCAGCCCCCCTCGCCCCCTCGGCCCGTACGCCTATGTCGACTTTGGCCGTTTTGGTCTGGAATCGAGTATGGTTTTCGAGGGAACTACGGGAGCGTATGAACGTATTTATCGTTTCAATTCCAAACGAATAAGAAATAAATAGAAATTTGTGAATTCGAAATGGATTTGAAAAATTTTATTGTTTGCGCTCTAATCTAAGTAATGATGATAATAATGGACTTTAGAGGTCTGGTCTGAAAACGGGTGTGGAAAATGAGATTTTTTGGTCTGTAATAGGGTCAGGATTTGAAGAACCGGGCGGCTCACCCCCATCGAGAAGTCCCCGAGTACCCCCCGGGCAAGGACGAAGCGGGTGTGGGACAATAGAAACACGTGGCGGGGAAAGGGGGTCATTTTTTTCAGTCGCTTGCCTTCGATCGCCAGAAGAACGCGAAAAGATAACGCCCATCAGACCGGTTGGTGGAAACTCCTTGACATAGGCCCAGTATGCGAGTTGCCAAAATTTCTGTCCATAAAGAAGTATCTAAATAAAAATAACAAATGCCGTGTTGGATTATGATCTCCTTTAGGGTTCAAATAAAGCCTAAGCCATGCTCAAATTGGTCTCCTCAGAGGGTTTACCTCTCTTAAGTCAAAGCCTCTTGTCTAGTAAACGCCCCTTCCCTGTCTAATAAACCCCCTCCCACATAATTAAATACCAGGAAATAGAGTAAAATCATTCAATTTATTCCGTTTCTTGCTTGATTAACTAGCATTTGCGCATTGTCAAGTTAAAAGTAAGGATTCCGACCTCGAAGTTAAGAGTAAAAAGGACCATAAGGATCTGAAAACGGTGATATATTCGCCGAAAGCATTTTAGCTTTTTATTAGTTCGTTGCAGTTATGGGAATAAACGCCTCCTATCTATTAAACGCCCCCGCTTGGAATGGACGTCCCGGGCGTCGACTATTAGATCATTTAAGGTGGCTGAACACAGTTTTGGCAGTTTCTGAGTATAGGTCATTTGCCAAATTATGGCAAGAGAAAGGTTGCAGCTCACAAGCTGAAACTTGGCAAGTGAAAAATATAACGATGAAAGATTTTGACTGACAGGCAAAATTTGACGTTTTCGTAGTTTCCATGGCAACATGAACGATTGAATACAACCTTAAAATTTCACTTTTACTCAGTTTACATAAAATTCGCTCATTAGATTTTCCTATAAACCCGCACACTTGAAACTTATTTGACCAAATTTTAACAGAGGGGTTTTCAGATAATCAATAATATAATTGTACTGTTATTATTAAATGTGTCACAAAATTCGTCTGTTCAACTCCCATTTTAAAGTTCTCATTATTTAAAAGACGATAAAAGTAAAAATTCTGCCAAATATCACAAAATTTTAATGAGCAGATTTTGAGAAATCGTCTTCTGTCTTCCACTGCTTTTTTCGCCGCCATGTTTGTTTGTCTAATTTAAAACATGCGCTACCGCTGACCGCCCGCGAAACTGCGTTCAGCCACCTTAAGGGTAATTACAATTTTCCGAGGAGCATCCGCTCCCATCCCGTCCCGTCTCGTCTTGTGTGACACGAAATGGTGACGTTATTGGCAAAATTCAAACTCTGAGAACTGCCACCACACTGAGTGAAACATAACTAATAACTGCTCAAAACGTAAAAAAAGTATAAATAACACAGCAAATACAAAAGGAGTCACGTATGGATTAAAAAAAGAAAAAAAAAACGGATTGCAATTGAGGTTTTTGAAAATTTGTTACAATCCTACACTTACGCACTAATGCACCCTTACGTTGCTGTCCCCTATTTTGTTTTGATTATTATTACCTACTACCTTATTTACCTAATTTACTTGTTTATTTTTCCCTTTTTCTCAGATTTCAACGAATGCAGCTTGAATAACGCTGGATGTGAACACGTGTGTAACAACACTGGTGGAAGTTTCAACTGTGATTGCAGGGCCGGCTTCAAACTGAAACCGGATAAGAGAGGATGTGCAGGTCACAAAATATATTCTCTTCATTAATAAACAGCTGCATGTCGCTATTTATTACAGATGAGATAAACATTAGCTATAATAGACGAGATAAACCTTATTTGTCTTGACCTTTATACGTTGATCCAACTATGAAAAATTCTTCTTGTAAACTTAGTCCTCAAGCAAACGCCTTTTCTTCTACTTGTTCGTTTAGCGTGAAACAGGGGCATTGAGAACCTACAGGCTTGTCAACTTAATCTTTTTCTTTTTCTTTCTCTTGGTTTGTTTTTAAAAAGCTTTGCCTGTATACGTATTGTTGTATTATTAGCCTGCCTTCTTAGGGCGAAAGGAGATATTTCCAAGACGCAGGCACGCCAAGGGAGAAAAGTAGAGGAGGCTTTCTTCCCGTTCGCGTGTTCCCCTCACGCTCCACGAGCGCCCTTTAAGAAAATAACCCAAAATAACCGGTGGCTGCTTCCAAACAAAATTCATTGACCCTTAGCAACTGCCAAATGAATAAATTGAATTATTTGACTTAAGTAACGTCCTTTCGTTTTTATTTTGCTTTTTAGACTTCGACGAATGTAAAGCAGATACAGACGGCTGTGAACACACGTGTACCAACTATGAAGGCGGATATTACTGCTCCTGTAATGCCGGATATCGACTCATGGATGATGACAAAGGGTGTGAAGGTAAGGAGTGCAACATTTAAGGGAAAAGTGTAAACAACGAATCTCAAGTCAGGGCTCAAAATAATTTTTCGACTGTTGCCAGCCATGCTAACCGGTCATAGAAATTTCAGCTTGGTCAAATCTCTCTGTTTTGAGCGGTCATGTCAAAAAAATAGAAAAATAATAAAATAATTATTTAAACCCGGAGCTTTAATACAATAGCTTGATAAGCAAAAATATATAATTTTTCCCCCAAAAAAGGTATAATTGAAACTTAGAACTTAGAATAAATACATTCCAATCCATTTACAGTATAGGTGCCCGGTCAAAATGACCAGCAAACCGAAGGTCTGTATGTCATCTTGGCCAGACAGACTAAAAATAAACTGCTCATCCAAGCCTCCCCTAACCCAACGTTAACACGATCTGCTCACTTTGGGCCAGGTGTTGGTTTAGGGGAGGGGTAGGCGAACAGCGTTCATTTAGAAACCCAGGTGTATTGATGAAATCAGAGATCGAGTTATATCCTGCGGACGTCGTTTTTGTCGCGCGTTTTTCATCAAATCGTCGCACATGAATGATTGCGAGCGAGGGTAAGTGCTACCAGCAAGTTCGAGCAATCACAAAAACGGCGGCAACGGGAAAATAAGAGAGAGGAACTGGTTGAATAAGCAAAAAAAAAAAAAATTAAAATAAAAACTTTGGTGCAACGTGCAGCACACTTTTGGACATGCATATTTCTTTTACATTATCGCACGCCAAACTTTGACCGTCGCTTTGATTTCTAAGATGGTCGTTTCATCAATAGCGATCGCCGCGACTTCGATTTCGTCGAAGATACCCATTTTAAGAAGTCTTATAAATTATACTGGGTTTGAGAAACACTAATCGTTCCGCGAACAGTTGACTTGGGCTCTCATCACTGAAGTGAAAGCGTTTGCTGTTTATGACAACCAAAACCAGAAACTGCCCGAAGCGTTTTTACGCTAAGATTAAAGGACGTTATTGATGCGAAATACTCCTGTCTTGCAGAGATATATTGCCCAGCCCTGGAAGCGCCATTCCGCGGTCTCATTGCGCCGACAACCTGTACAGACAAGAGATCCAATATCCGGCGTAGCACTGTGTGCTCGTATGGCTGTGATTCAGGACATAATCTCGTGGGAGGAAGCCAGTCTTTGGTTTGTCAGTTAAATGGACTGTGGCAAGGAACTGTCCCTTACTGCAAACGTAGGTTTTTCATTGCATATGAGTTAAATAATTAAGCTTTAGAATAACAGACCTTTTTTATTTTGTATGTTTCCCAAACCGGACCACGTGATGTTCTCAAGGGTTTATTTTGGGAAAAGTGGACGAAGAAGACGTTTGAAAGAAAAAGTTTTTTTGGCGTAACATCGCTTGGTTTGAAATGGGAAAACAGAAAATGTAGGCTAAAAGGTTTATAGTAGTAAAATGTCAGTGATTATCGAGCTGTTGAAAAAATCTAACCCATATCATTTCTTAGCCTGTTTTCTGGCATCTACTTCATAAATTGGCAGTTTAAGATTGTCATTTCATGCAACCATTCTCCGGCTTTGTTCAAGAGAATTTTCTTCTGCGCTATTACACGGGTATTTGGGGTGAAGGTAGTTAACGATAATGTATAAAAATACAGATATTCCTCTCAAATTTCTTTGAAACAAAGAAAACGCTTGCAGAAAAGTCTCACGTACATGTAATCTTGGGTTCCTTTATGAAGCTAGCTAGGCCCAGAAGGCTCCGGTTAAGCAGTCAGGTCGCTGGAATTTTTTTTCATAGTTTCTATTATTCAACCAATAAGCAAATCTTACAGTTCTTTTATAGCTTGAGGAGTTCTGATCAAGTATAGTTACATTGGGTGCCAAGTAATAAGCTCCGAAGTGATGAAGGTCGCTAGACTTGAGATAGCCAGCGGCAATGCCGAGGCAGTACGTTTCCAAACTTGACATGGAACTCTTTGTATCTGACTTTCCTTTTATTTTTCTTCTTTTTTTTCTAATTAACTGAGGCACAGAGAGAGATTATGAACCCAGCTGTGATGAAAACCTGTACGTAAATTTGAAAGAAACGATAAGTTAGTTGACTATAATTATCATGTACTTTGGAAGGCGTCAAAGAGAACGATAGCCATTAATTCATTCATTTTAAAGTTACTATTATAATAAGTTGTTCATCAATTTACTATTTTATTTGTTTCTTCGTTTATGAACCTGACAATTATTATTGCCTCTCAGCGGTTGTTTGCCCAAAATTGACTGTGCCTGATAAAGGCGGAGTGGTTCCAGCGTCTTGCGCCAAAACAGACGTCGAGTACGGCACACGGTGCGTCTTCTACTGCGGTGATGGATATGAATTGAGTGGCCCCAGATACACCACGTGCCAAAATGATACAAGCTGGAGTGAGATTGCAACTCTTTCTTGTGTGAGAGGTTGGTTCGAATAGATTTTTAGATGAGTTTTTACTACATATTCGTGTGTACTAGGTTAAATAAGTATGTGGCAACCAGTCTGTGAATTTTTACTTTTCGGTCCTGAGACTTATGAAATTTGTATCACCCTCACAAACTTGCAGATTATTGTGAAGTTTAATGACGGCGCGATCCTTGTGCATTTTTAGGGGGAAGGTTTTAGCATAGCGCACGAGTGTTTTTCAAAAATAGAAAAAAAAATTGATCCAGCCAATCAAAACCGGTAGACCTTGTGTGATTTCCCAAGCGGTAATGCTAGAACCAAGGCTTGATACTTAGTTAAGGTGGCTCGACCCAGTATTTTTGTAGCGGTACTTTCCATCTTTGAATCTCATATTCTTAAATTGATCTTTCCTGTAAAACCCATTATAACACATGTATTACACATAGACTAAACTTGATTGTGGTATTATTTTTTGGGCGACCGGAATTAATATCATCCATGACGTCACAATAGTTTTAGCTCTAAAATTAATCGAATTTCTGCACTTATAAGCTTAACGTTACCTATACTTTGAGTGCTTGTCGTCTGTTGTGCGTAGTTTCGCAAAAATCTATGAGAGGAATTTCGAGATATCTTGGAATTTCTACAAAAATTTTTACCATTATTTTTGGGATTCAATTGATGCAAAAGAGTTTTGGCTTTTTGGATAGATAGCGAATAGAGTGACTAAGCACCTTTAAAAATACATCATATAATGCGCAATTTATTGAAAATATTTGAGACGATTTTCGTCTTATTTCCTTAACAGTATACACGGACCCATGGATCTCATGTCCAATCGACAGAGTAGAAGAACTTGAACCAGACGAGTCAACAGTCGTGCTAGGCTTCAAGTGGCAGCTTCCAAGAACCAACATGAAGAACGTGACCGTGTCTCCTAGCAACTACGATGAGAATTATGCTTTCCCTGTTGGCAAACACCGTGTCACGTGGATAGGAACTAGTGACCGTGGAACACAGAAGAGCTGCAGCTTCTATATCACTGTCAATGGTAACAAAAGTGTCCGTCCTAGTCATGATTCAAAGCTATATGCGGTTGTAGTGTCAAAGCATTTGTCCTTTAAAACATCCTGGACTTCTCAGAAAATCACCTCTGTGTGTAGTTTCCTGCTCAAAAATCTATCAAACTTTACTTTGAACTGCTATAATTCCATTTTGTTCATTCCCTTGCCTTAAGGATCCGTTTTGAACATATTTTGGATGAAATAAAGCGTGTCATCCTCTAAACTTGTCTCCTTCGCAACCGTTCCTTGTGTCGTTGCTTGACGACATAATAAACGGCTGCATAGGAGACTACCTCTTAGCTAATCCCTCCACTCCTTGAATCAGTCATAAGAATATATAATTTTTGAGTTTTTTTAAACAAAAGCCAATGATGTGACAGCCAGTAATGCGCCTGCTACCTTTTTTCTCTGTATATAGGATTGTATGAAGTGAAACTTGTGATTTTCCTTAAACTTTCACGGAAATAGAAAAGTACGAGGTAGGAGAGAGACCTCTACCGGCCCTCGACACGTTCCTTCATGCAGCCGCCGAGCTCATTCGATCTCATTCCTGGTCAAAACCCGTTTCGTTTATTGTGAAATACGCATACCCTGTTGAAACCGCACGCTGAACAATTTCTGATTCCAAAATTGCTGTCGCGGTTCTGTAAATTGTGCAGGGCGTGACTAAAACGTTACTGTTTGTTAAGGAAACGTCGGTGATAGAAAACGCATCGGGGTGCGGCAGAGGTCTTTCCCTTTCCTACCATTTTTCTCTCGCCATGAAAGACCTGTGCTAGCACTGGAAATTGATACTTTCGGTGATAAAATAATTGACAAGACGGACGAATTGTATGCCTGTTTCATTTCAGATGTGACACCGCCTTCCACTCAGAACTGTCCTGCGTCATTCTCAGATCAGTCGAACTCTCTTCAGAAACAAGTCACGTGGACGCCACCCACCTTCACTGACAATGTAGGTGTGGCCAGTGTACTTTCCAATCGCCAGCCAGGATTCTTGATGGATACTTACACGTCAATAGCAATCCAATATACTGCCACTGACGCAGCAGGAAATATTGCTTACTGCAGGTTTAACATCACTCTCGAAGGTACGTGTTCTCGTGAAGGATGGTCTCCGTTTATTATTCAGTCGGAACCTTTCGTTAATCGTTGTTCTGCTGTTCGCTGTTTAATGGTACGTTCGGTTACAAGTAAATTTTTACCAGTATACAGCACATCGCACATAGTATACAGATCGCACATAACTTTGTCTTCGAAATCTTAAGTCGCATTCACATTAGAAGCGTTTTTGACGGTCTTGTCAAATTTCGTCCTCGTAGTTGTTCTCTATAAGAAAACAGCTAACATTTCACGACACCACAAATTGTTTCCGCACGAAGTGATGTCTGAGAAACGAGCGCAGAAATTCCATACTGATGACGCGTTACTACCAAGATCTGTGCAGTGCTCCGGCTGAAAACCTTTCTTCAACCAATCAGAAGCACTACCCAGATCTGCTCCCGCTTCCCAGACGTCATTTCGCGAGGAAACCAGAGGCGGAGTCATGAAAAGTCGGCTGTTTTCTTACACACTTTATTTACACACTTTATTATTATTAACAATCTACATTTACATAAAGTCCATTTCCGCCCGCAAATAGCAGGTGCTAGTCGAGGCGGGCAGAGATAATAGGTACAGCAGTCAGTAATAAATTACAAATAAATAGATAAATAAATAAAAAATAAATAAATAACTAGATATATATAAATAAGTGAGATAAAGCTTAAACATAAATTAATAACATCTACTAAATCAAGTACTTGAAACTCGTAAAATTAACTGCGACACTAAATTAAGATATGTATACTTTATAAATTAAACTCTGTATTTGCTCGATAGTTCGCTATTTTTTGAAGCAGAATGGGCGATTCAACATAATCGTCATCTGCCTCTAATAACGAAAATAACATGTCATTGATATGTTTTATGATATGTTTTATCAAGAGAGGATGAAAGGGACAGAGAAGGCATTCCCGATACACACCCTATTCCATAGGTAATTCGTCTCGAGTTATTTTTAGAATCGGGATAAAGTTTCCTCGCGCGCTGCGTGGATGTTTGGTGGAGGTTTCGCATGACTAAACGCCGTGGAAAACATGTCGGGCGAAAGGCAAAGAAAGCGTAAAGAGATCGAGAGCATTCCTGAATATTGACGCGAAATGAGTCGGCGCTCACCTGGGAAATGGGAATCACTAGACTCTTTGACAACCCGTGAAATCAGTTTAACTCGAAGTTGTCGTAACCTCAGTACTTTAATAACATGAGAAATTTCGCCGGTCTTTTGAAACCGGTCGTTTGTACAATAAAGCAAATAGGACGCCAAGTGTTATTTTTGTTGAATAATAAAATACTAATAAAAGAATAAATATCAAACCAGAAATTGCTCTCTTCAAACTGTAAATTGTAAATGATCCTGAGAGAATATTCAGTGTGTTAAGGATTTCCCTGCTGTACTGTTAGCTCTATACAAGAGAGAAAGGGCGATTCTTTTTTAATTTCCGTTTCGCTGACACAGCTTTAGCAGAAATCTCTCTGTAGTCTTTTCGTCGACAATTCGTGAAGGACGCGTGGCTCTGAGTGTGGGTCATCCACGCGGAACTCATTCGCGCTATGTGGTTGGCTGTTGTCTAATCCCCCTTGGGATCTGTGGTCTTAAAAATAACTTGAAACGAATTACCTGTGGAATAGGGTGTGTATGGGGGGATGCCTTCTCTGTCCCCTTTATCCTCTCATTGTCATTGATATGTATGTTTCTCAGGCTGCGTAGTTGTCCTCGTCCAAAGTCGAGTCCATAAGTGTCTATTGTTGTTATAGGTTCAACTTGTATAAAGATCGCTCATCCCAAGAATGGCAATGCCATGCAGCTTGGCTTATTTCTTCAGCTGACGTGCAAGAGTGGCTTCTTTTTTAACCCCTCACCGCCTGGATTACCGGGAATATTTCAAAACCCTTTCTACAGATGCATCAACAACCAGTGGGTCTCTCAGAATGATTTCAAGTCCGTTTTAAGAAAAGCACCGGATTGCATGGGTAAGAGTAGATCAGTATACCTTACAAAGGCTTAATAAGAACAGAAATTTGGAAGTTGACTATTTTAAACTACTGTTAAAAATTTGATTTCCGATAGTACTGTGCACGGTACTTTATTATTTATGAAAGTCTATATGGACGCAAGTAATTCTTTTCCCTTCCTTTTACTCTGGGATGCAGATTCTGCTGTTATCGTGATCAGCTGTCAAGTGACAAAAAGATTTATTATTGTGAAATTATATCTTACCGAATTTTTGAGTAGAAAGGCGTCAAAAGGCAGGTTTCTGAAGCCCGAGAAGGTCCAAAATCACAGTAACGAAGGAAAAGGAAAGGAGAAAGAGAAAGAGTGAGGAGAAGGAAAAGAGGAGAAGAGAAAAAAGCAATGGTTGCACTTTTAGTTTTCATAATGGCTACTAATGGCTACCTCAAAAATCTTTGTCCATGTACGTTAAACGCCATAGGAAGCTCAAACATTGAAACCTGTAATAAGCTCCTAAATGTTGTCTTTAAAGTTTTGTGCTTTCCTCAGAGTACTTGCTGCACGACGGAACAGAGTGTCGTGGAGGCTCCGTACTTGTGGACACCATCTGTTGTAAGTATAACATGAATTTTTGCAATGTAAACACCATTTGGACGGATTTCGTCCTTTTTCCTGACATTTTTTACAATTTTCGAGGGACAATTTAAAGAATTTTCAGGGTTAGTTTGGGATTAAAGCCCTATACATATTCTCTTACACGTTAAAAAAAAACTGTAAGAAGAAATGTATCTGAACTGTTGCAGGATCCAGGATCTTTTACCCCATAGTGGAGCTTTCTGCAAAATTAAGCCCTAAATTTTGGAATTTCGACGAATTGTTGTGTTTTCCGCGACATTTAAGTCAACGACTTTGAAGGGCTTCCACCCACCGTAAAACGAAAATTCAGCGAAATGTGTTGTTAGTTTAACATATGCGTGTTGATAATAATTTATTTTGAAGACAACTACGTTATGTCCATGAAATTGATTAGCTGCGCCTTTGAAGTAAACGTTTCTGAATGTTTTTGTCGACAGTAAACTGTTATCCAGGAAGTTACAGCGCCAACAATCGTTCATGTAAGCTTTGTAGCCCCGGATTTTATCAGGACGAACAAGGAAAAGAGGAATGCCAGCCATGTCCTGTCAACACTTCATCAGTCGTCACAGGATCCATAACAATGGCAGACTGCGAACGTAAGATTTGTTACGGACACACCATTCCACAGTTAGACTTCGATAGAAATATCCGGGTATTTTGTGAGACATTAGAAGTTTGTGGGATATTAAGAAAATCGTGGAATACTTCGTAAAAATATATGATTTTTGAGAACATAGTTCGGGGTATCTGGTGTTTTCCTGTCATTTATCCGAGTAGGGACTATAACCTATTGACAGCTAGGAATAGAACTAATACACAACCACAAAGGATGTCAGATCCAGAATGGAGGATACTGATCATGCCATCATCATCGTCATCACAATCATCATCATCATCATCATCATCCTTATCCCTCTGCAGCTGCTACTGTAGCCTTTGGAATACAGAGAGAAAACGAAGAAACTAAATTTTGCGTATGTCTTGAAAATAAACGATGTATTTTAAACGTCAAAATGACATGAGATGTATGGGGTTCTTTTGGGGAATTTCGCTATTGCCTTAAAACAAAATGCAAAATAATACTGTGGTAGCCGTTACACTTTTGTTGGCGTCACGTGTATCTGAGAAAGTGACCACAATGAAGTGTATGCAGCACATATGTGCACTCCGCGGAATTTTTTTGTTAGTTGCTATCAAAAATGGCGAAATGGAGAAACGCTTGAGCTTACTTCATTATCGTTTGCTGTTTGTGTTTTAGCTCTTTGTATGGCTGGGCATTATTCTACTAACGGTGGTGTGGAGCCTTGCGTACCGTGCCCCATGGGAACGTACCAGGAAAGGGTACAGCAAACCCAGTGCAGCGCATGCCCAGCAGGTACACGAACAGCAGGCACCGGAAGTACGTCACAGAAAGACTGTTTGTGTAAGTATTATGCCCGCGAGATTGTCCGATTACAAGCGAACAATATGGTTCCCTATAGAAATTTAAAGTTTTTTCTTTGTTCCCCCAAAATAAGTTACCAAGTTTCCCGAAATGTTTATCGTGAATTGCACCCTTAACGGGTATAATTACTGTTGTGTCCTATACATCCATGGACTGAGCTTGAATTCCTTTCATATTGCGTTGCCGTTTTTACATAAATGGTGAGGGTTGCTAGACAAAAAAATAATATTAACAATGGCGTTCGAGACCCACGTAGGAATTCTCCTTGATAAACACGCGTTCCAAACTGGTCACCATTTTTTCTGCCAAGAACAAAATATGTGATTACCCGAGAAATGATTTTTTTTCTTTTAAACATAGAAAATTTTCGAAAGTTAGGAAATCAATGCCACGAGAGTGAAAACGCTTTAGTAGCAACATTCAGTGATTGATTTTACTTTTCCACTTACATATTGCTTGTCTTATACTCGTTGCACGCTTTCCCTTTTTGATAGTTGATTTGTTTCTTGTGTAATTGTCAGGCATAGGCTATTGTGTGATGTTTCTTACACTTCTTACTAAATTACTCCCTATCAATTAGCTCCTGTTCGCATTACGGCAATCATTCCGTCTTCGGAATACACAGTATACGAAAACTATACCATAACACTTACGTGCTACATCGAAGGCGATCCCACACCGAGTGTAGAGTGGAGAAAAGTTGGAGGTAAGACTTCTAACTTTCTTAAGTCATTTTAATGCTTGTAAATTCTCGCTCCTCTCTCCCGGCCTCTCGGATCCGGTCGGGATACTTCGGATAGTATAATATATAGATTTAGACAGAGCTAAAGCGAAGCTTCGGTTTATGGAGCATTTTCACATGACGTCATGACGGCCATATTGGTGTTCCAAAACAATAAAACGGCGGCCATGTTGATATAGCTCTTCCTTGGGATACCTCTATTAAAGGGACACCTCTATTCCGGCGACACAAGATTTGGTCCTAGAGAAATGTTCACATAATCTTTGTATTTATTACCTTTATTGAAGGGACACCTCTATTCAGGGGAAAAGGATACTTTTTCTGGGTCCCGAAACCTGGGTTTAACCTCCATTCAGGGGACACCTAAGTAATCAAAAGTACGTCAAAAGTAACTGACCAAAAAATCGTCGATAAAATTGTGTTCACTAGTGACAATGGCTACGGCTTTCAAAACGTGAATTAACTCACCTCAATCAATGTACTGCAGTTGTGGGAATTCAACACATAACATCGCAGAGAAGTTAGTCATTATTTGTTATACACTATCTAGTTGCTTGAAATAATTACTGCAGCAGATTCCATAGTCTGCAAGAGCAGACGCCGTTTTCGGCTCTAATCATAGCTCAGTTGGTAGAGCATCGCACCGGTATCGCGAGGTCACGGGTTCAAACCCCGTTGAAGTCCTGAATTTTTTTCAGGCTTTTTTAAGCAATTGCATAAATTGCGTTCACTGCGAAGATCATTTCTTCATTTTCAATAATACTTACGTCATAACCAAATCTTCTCGCATCGATATCTCATAGCCATAGGCGCGCTCGCGGAGGCTCCGCTATTACGTATAGAACATTTAAACCAAGGAAAAGAGTGGACAATAACATCTACGCTCATGCAATTAACGAAAATGTTATCTCCTTCCAGGGTCACTTCCTTCTGCAGATCGTCTTACCATAAACAAAATTTATGATCTGGACCAGAGGCTTTCTGGTGTGGAATACGTGATCGATAGAGCGGTCCTCGATGATGCTGGCACTTACGAGTGCTCTGCAGTAAGTCAATACGGCTCGGCTAAAAATCAGGTCAAGATAAATGTCATGTCTGGACTTCCGCCTGGCACAGTGCCTTGATAGGTAAGAGACTGGTGTACTTTTGAGAGGAAATAGTTACTTGCTTAGGTAGCGGTTCAGTTAAACCTTTTTTCTTAGTTACAATTTCATTGCAATCCAACGAAACGGGAAGCAACGCCTGTTAGGAGAACATGTAGATACATTCATTTGTCGGTATTTGATGAGAAATGTGCTTGCAAATGAATTTATAGCGTCTACATGAAGGGACCAAGAGCTGTGGTGGTTAGAGTGAAAGTGAGTTTTACTCATAAATTTGCGAAATTCTATCTGACAACAGTGTTGACCTCGAAAAGCTACCTTTTTTGCATCCCTAATTATTTCATATAATATTCCCATTAAATTACGTTATGAGAAATTGATTTAGGTGAAATAAATGATAGTTTTGAGCTTTAAAAGCGTTTGCAACACGATTAACTTAAGCAAAAAAAGGTTTTCTTAGGTTGGCATAGTGTTTGCTCGTCAATCATAAAAGTGAAGTACTCTATTAGCCGCATTCTGCATAAGTGCATTGTTGGCTATTATCATTCGAAGCAAATTTTTCTTCCTATTCATTGGCCGAGGGCCCACCACGTGACTCGCAAATAACTGACTACAAATAATGGTCCGCTAATGCGCAATGTCGTCCAACTACGTTGGCTTCAAATAATATTCTGCTCATGCGTGAATGAAAGCTTTTCTCCTTCTTGCGATCGCAATGACAGATCGCTATGTTTCCCAAAGATATCCTTTAAAAAACAAACTCGATGATCGAATGATAAAACAATCATTGAACTCGAATATCGCAAAATATCGTGATTTGTCGGATTCTCGTTGATCAATTATTTGCCTCAATTATTTAATCTGCTCACCATTGGTATGATATTTTTCTCAACCTCTTCCAAATAATTATTTATTGTTGTCATAATATCATGGTTGAGTTTAATCATAGTAAAGTGTAGTGGTTATGAAGGCCAACAGATTTCTTTGGTTTATTTTTTGTAGTTTTGATTTTGACCTAGTGTACAACGTTTATTTATAACATTCCTATCATTTTGAACTAACTGTCCAATAGATTAGGAACGTCCCATTTATTGACCTGGTCACAAATAGATGGCAAAAGATTGTCCACCGTCAGGAAGCTCCTAACATAAACTGCAGCACTATTGTTTTCATTTTTGCAGGCTTTCAAGCTTTAAATAAATAAATAAATAAATAAATAAATAACCTGATACAACTGGAAAGGAAAATTAATTAGTGATAATTTTAAGTTTTAAATGCCTGAAATTATTCATTAATGAGCTTGTTGAATGGTTATTGGTATTTGGGTTTTTTAAACCCTTCAATCGAATTAGATTAAAAAGTCCCTAAATTGAAAGAAGCCTTTTATCAAGTTATTGTACTTTTCCTTTTTCATTTACAGATAACCAGAAGCCTTAATTCTTAATTGAACCAATAACTCACAGAACAAGTCAAGTAATTTAAGAAGTGAGAGGAATGTAATGAGTTACGAGATACAATTTTATTGTGACTATTATAGAGACTAATAAATTTTTGTGTCTAAACAATAAAGGGCTCACTTAATTTTCTCACTGCAGCTCAACCAGTCTTCTCGCCGGCAGGTCATATGGCAGTTTTCCTTGACATTTCTTCTTAACCCATTTTGGCGTCTCTGCCCCAGTTCAGACGTCGAACGTTTCATGTGCCGAACCTAATGCATAAACTACTGTAATTTATTTTCACTGGTAGACATTGTAGACCATGGTTCTTCGTAGAAATGAATTGAGTTCAACGAATGAAGTTCGAAGTCTGAATCAGCCGTGGAACTTGCATCGGTTGGGTCGACCAAAATAGGTATTAAGTTCGGTTCGGTTGGACGTTTGAACTGGGACTTACTTAACACGCAACAGGTTAGACACTCAAACCGGGATTCTTGGAATTAGATTGTCCAATCACAACGTTTTCTAAAAACAAAAGATTCTCAAGTTTTTTTGCAAACGGACCAATAAAATTCAACTATGCAACCGTTTAAAATTTGAAAACCGTTCAAACTGACCTGACTCTTCAGGAAACAGTCCTTAAATTTATGATTGTTGTTGGTCCGTTTGCAAAAAAGTTGAGTCTTTTTTCTCTGAAAAAGTTGTGATTGGGCAATCTTTCTCCAAGTTTACCTGTTTGAGTGTCCGCACTGTAACGAAGTTCGCTAGCAAGCCTCCTATCATCATCATCGTCGTCGTCATCGTCATCATCATCATCACTCGGGTTTGTAGTCACCCTCTTGAAAGAGGAACCCCTGCCTGAATCGACCCCACAAGTGTCTGTGCTTGGCTAATCTTGATCATACGGGTCCGATCTGTCTGGTGAGATCGTCTCTCCATCTTTTTTTTATCTGTTGCTCAGATAGCCGGGCAATTTGACCTGCCCATCTATGCTTTGCTTTCCTGATAGCCTTGATGATGTTGCTTACGC